AAAACCCTAAAACCCTAAACCCTAATAAAACCCTAAAACCCTAAAACCCTAAAACCCTAATAGATCTTTTCAAAACCTACATGCGCTTGACGCAACATTAGTCAAAGCGGCTAAGAGGATGCTGTCTCGCCAAGAGATATTTTGAATGCGTTATGTAGTCAAGGTGACCTAGACATTCTGGGCATAATATTTCCCCCAGTTCATCACCGTAATATAAAAGTAGTTTGTAACTCCTACAACAGGCGCTTGGCTAACCAAGCCATCATTTGAAACCTGACAATCCCAGACAACAGGAAAATTACCACATGTGGAAGCATAGTTAGATTTACCCATTTCTTCTATCATTGATATATATATCCACAGCTAAAAATAGCCCTCTCACCGTAGCTCAAAGTCGAAAGATGTCTAGATAATAATGAAGGCTCTATTTCTTGCATAATTAGTTGATAATCTTGATAATACTATTGAAATAGCCAAGCACTATAATGTTAGCTACAAATATTTAACCGACTCAGTGATCAAACTATCCATATTGCCACCCGTTTCCGCCTCCGCGGCAAGCAACATATGTAAACCAATAGGTAGAATGGAGGGGTATAACAAGAATGAAGAAACATTTGAATCACTGTGCTTCTACTACCGCCAACAGGAACCCTAAATTCAGCAGTAGATGCTCTGAATATAATGCACACCTCCTATCCCTCACCACTTTGTTCATCTTGCCAACCGGTGATCCAAGTTCCAGACTCACATCTGCCCACAGGAAGCTTTTCTATACGAGGGACTCGTGAATAAAGCTTCTCATCCCGAGAGGCTTTCCGTTTGCGGCCGCGCCTCTGATGTGTTCGACATAAATCACATATATCTGGACCTTGGGTTCAGTATCACACGATATACATCTAAAGTATCGGGTTATACAGCGAGTATCTGACACAGGGGTTTAGAGTTCTGCAGAGTATATCTCTGACTGACTTCTGGTCTCCACCAGCTATTCCGTGGCTAAACTAACGAGAGCCTCATTTAGGGGAATTATAGCTCCCGTTCATTACTTGCCATTTGCCATTATTTCTTCTCTAGGCTCATCCATATTAGAATTATTCACTCAGCTGTTGCTTAGGCAATTTATGGTCGAAATGTTGAATCGAATAGGCTAGACACTATCAAAGATCAGGGCTTAATATCAGTGAAATGCCATGTTATCGATTATTCCTGCATATCTGCCACCAATTATCACTATGTATAATGCAACAGCAATCACTCAACTTTACCTCATTATTATGTAATATAAAAAATTGGTCTATAATTGATATTCTATGAATATTATCTGTATTATTAATAGAGTTTATGAAAGTCTTTCCCGTAGAGAAGTCGGCCACCAGTAGTCAGGCAGCAATTACCTGCCTTTCGTCAAGCTGGTGATCTTCTTGCTAGACCCTTTGACGTGACTGCCAATTAGGTGGCTCCAAAAGTAGCGTAGAAGAATGCACAAGAAGAGCATCCAAAAGCATAGGACGGTGGTGGTGATAAAACCCCCCGGTCGCAAACAGCGCGTATAGGATATACCGGTACACTTTTGTGTTCGCAATGCGGAGGGGAGTGTAGATGAATGAAAGCTTGATGAAGTAGGTCGCGATGAAGTACAGCAACAGACAGATGAAAACGTGCAGTAATGCCAGTAATGCCACTAGTCAATCGGTGCCGGGGCGTCGATTGGCAGCGCCGGTGATAATATCATCCCAAAATATACAACCCTGATAGTGAATCCGCGAAAAGAGTCACAGACCGACGCAAATGCAGGCAAGAGCGACAAGGACAATGCATACTGTTGCGTACGTCACAGGGTTGTATGGCATGTTTGTCCTTGTGAACGGGCATCGTCGGGTGCATATAGGAATCAGGTATGTTTTCGACTGGTGCAGAAACGACAGGGCTAATATGAACCGGTGGACAGGGCTGAGCGCAGGGATGAGCGCAGGGAATTGAATCAGCGGTTTCCCGAGAACGTGATAAGAGTTTGATCTATATCAGAAGCATTGGAGACTCCGGATAAAATTGACAGGATCAACTTGTGCGATGACGAGAGTATGAGGGGCGAATACGAACACCGGGGTGGACAGGAATGAGTCCAAAGCGCTGGAAGAGGGTTTTATGAGATGGCGAGAACATTCGAGACTCCCTCCTTCCCCATGATATCCCCAGGTGGAGTGAAGAGGGCCTCTGGCAGTTGAGCCACAGCTCGATCAAAACAGGGCGGAATCCAGAGGGGAGGTTGAATTCCGCTTCTTCCTCGGCGCCCCTGTATTAAAACGGTAGGGACTGTCCGAAGCTTGCGGCGGCTGAATCTCTTCTTTGGGAGATCTGACCAGGGTGGTCGAGAAACACGAGGCTCCTGGCGCGATTCGCGACATTGAGGCCGACAATGGCCTTCCTCCTCGCTACTTCTGCTCCAGCTTGTTCCTTGGCTCGATGACAGCGATCGGACTGGGCTTGCTTGCTGCGATCGCCGGCTTTGCCTTTCCGGCTCCGCTCCTCGCCATCATCAACCAGGACATTGGCCCTAGCGCCGACATCTCCTGGGTGTCGCTGACCTACACGCTGACGATCGCGGTTGGCCTTACCCTGATCGGCGGCACCACAGATATTTTTTTGGGGAGGCGATACATTTTTATCGGCGGCGGTGTCCTCGGAACCGTTGGGAGTATCGTATGCGCGAGAGCGGACAGCGTCAACACCTTGATCGGAGACATGACATTGATCGGACTGGCTGCATCGACTCGGGTATCTTATTTCTACGTGGTGGCAGAGCTTGTGCCGATGAAATACCGCTTCGCAGCCAACAGCCTCATGTATATCTTCACGACGCCTGGCCGTGCCTTTGCGCCTGCCATCGGCGAGAGTTTGGTCCGCACCACCTCTGCGGGCTGGCGGGGAGTGTTTTACGTCCTGATCGCCATCAATGCCGTTGTGTTACTGTGTTTCACTTTGTTTTACTGGCCGCCCACCTTCCAGGAGAAGCATGACAGCCAGCGAAAATGGGCCTACGTTCGTCAGTTCGACTATTTCGGAACCCTCCTGTTCGTGTCCGCCCTGGCACTCTTTCTCATGGGCCTCTCCTGGGGTGGCTCTCGTTACCCATGGCTGTCCTCATATGTGGTCGCTACCATTGTCGTCGGCGGGTTATCGTTTATCGCATTCATCCTCTGGGAGTGGTATGGTCCAACCCGGCAGCCGCTCGTTCCGATGCGTATGTTGCGAGATTTGCAATGGACGGCGGCGGTTATCACCTCGGGGCTCGGTTCAAGCCTCTACTATGGCCTTGCCATCGTCTGGCCATCAATGGTGTCCCTCATTTATGCCTCCGGGAATTCTGTCCCTGACAGCTTGCTCTCCTCGCTCGTCGGAGCCGGCTGGTAATGTGGGGATATCATCTCGGGATTTGCGGCCATGGGCATTCGAAAGATCAAATACCAGAGCATTGCGACCCTTGCGATTGCGGGGATCCTGTTTGCCTGTGTCGCGACGTGCACCGTGGATTCACACGACCGAGCTTGTTGGTTGGTGGCCTTTGGCACGTTCTTCGCCGGATGGGTGGAGGGGCTATCCCTTCCGACTACGACCCTCGCGCTCGGCGATCAGGATGAACTGGGCACTGGCTGTGGGTTCGGTGACTCGATTCGCTTTTCCATCACGACCGTCGTCACGGCGATCTACAACGTCATCATTACTACCCGGTAGGCGGATACTATCCTGACAGAGATTGGGAAGGCATTGGATAACAGTAGCCTGCCCCCCGAAGCCATACAGACCCTAATTGCCGCCCTGTCAGCTGGTCAGGCTCCGACAACCGTGGTGGGGGTTACCCCAGGGCTCGGGGCTAGAGCTCTTCAAGCCTTCAAGGAGGCCAACATTCAGGCGTACCGCACGGTTTTCTTCAGTACAATCGCAGTTACAGGGCTCGGGCTGGTGGCCACCCTGTTACTGCCCGATGTCGACTCGTTGATGAGCGAGGAGGCCACTGTCACTCTGAGCCGGACGAAACACCCGCCGTCGATGGCGAGGAAAACGCATCGAACCACCTAATGTGTGCACAGTAAACTTTTAAGTACAAAATATCAAGCCCAGATAACTGAAGCCAGACTTTAGCGCGTCCCTCCCACAACAAAAGAAGCATTATGTATGAAGAAAGATATATTATGGATATGGAGGAGGTGTGTTGGGGGGAGGGGGTGGAATTCCACAGCTAATTCCACATAGTGATTCTCTGCACATTGTTATGTGCAGGATTAGAAAAACCATAAATCATTCTCTCGGCTTCATCACACTGCCCACTGTATCTAGACCAGCCACTCTTCTCTTCATGACACCTCACACAATCTCCATCCTTGTCTACAAGGCTCCCCACCTCACGGCGGATCACTTTCAATCACAGTATAAGACCACGAATGTTCCTCACATCTTGTCCCTCAGCAATCCAGGCAGCCGACAGCTGTTATATTGGCGTCGCTATGCTGTTAATGATAGCTCAAAAAACAACCCTGACTAGGATGCTCTTACCATAATGTGCTTTATGGACAAGACCGCGGCGGACCGAATCAATGCCCTCCTGAACAAGCCTGGCATTAATACGCTGGTCGATGACGACTCAGTGCGGTTCCTCAATATTACCGACACTCAGTTCGCCGTGCTCGAGATAGAGGGCTCTAGGTCTTGATAACCTGTTACCTAGTGGTTCTACCTTTATGTAATTTATTTCCTAATTTCTTAAGACTGTTTATCTGTAGTGAATATAATTTATTATTAAATTTGAATTTCAGAAGGAACACCTCACTTGACAGATATAGAATAACAAACAGATAAATATAATTCATTATAAGAAAATAAATTATTTTATTAGTATTCTATTATTCCGAAACTTGGAATTTTATACTTATTTTTTAAACACGTTATCAAAGTTCAACTGCGTATGTGAAATCAAATAAATTAGATAAAAATATAAGAAAAGCAGGTTCATAAAATAGAGATCTAATATTATTCTATATATTAACAGTAGATAATTCAAATATGATTAGAATTATTACTATTCCTGTGATCATCTCTAATAGATACCTTGTTCTGATGTATTTACCCTCTGAGGCGCTTCCGAGATAAATAGTGGATATGAGAACATAAATGAAGAAAGCACTATCAAATCTCCCATAGGTACTTTGTTTATACGCCTGAAACTTCCCTTATTCTATATTCTTGGACTACAAATTGATACTATATATTGTGACCTCTTTCAACAGGATGGGTACACCATATATACACAAGGAGGTTACCGTAAACTGTTCTGTAGGGACCGAATTTAGCAGATATATTATGACCCGTCAATATGCATCCTAGCCGGGTCCGGGAGAATTTGCACGTTGATTCCAACCTGCCATCATATTAGCGCTAATAATACTCACATGACCGTCGGACTTCTTTATACCCATCCTTATTCCAGATCAGCCTCATCTAGCTGATATAACTCCGTTCCTAGCCCCCTTTCACTCCATACTTCTCACCAGTCATTCCGTCCTCCCATAATTGAGAAGGAAGCGACAACTCTTCGCATTCAACAGCAACATCAGCAAATGTTTGCTCACTAAATTCTATCCGGGTCTCTTGGACAATATTCGTCTTCCCGTCATGATAGATCAACCGTAGCATGTCCGTTTCAAAAGCTTCCTGATCCGCAATAGCAAAATAACCTTTTGAAGCTGTTTGCCGAAGGCATGCGCTCTGCTGTTGAATATGCTTATCACGATCAGCCCTCCATTCGTCGCTTTGTTTAAGTGTCGGTAGTTTCTTCCTAAAAAACTGTCTATCCCGTGAAATATGTTCTGGGTTCGGCAGGCGGCTATAGCCATTTAAAGGGCCGGCTAACTCTGGCAAGATATCGAAGACTCGCCACCAGTGGTGGCCGAAATTGAAGAGTTCAGGATTATCAAGAAGGGCCCACCAGGCTGTATCCTTCTCGTCGAGCTCATCGGACCCTACTAAATTTGTGATCTTGTCGTTGTCATCGGCATTGTAGTGAGTGCGCAACAAAATCAACTGCTTGTTATCACTCCCCCAAATCCTCCACGCTATCTTCCGCAGATTGTCAGAGCGCCAGGGGCGGAGAATAGTGTCAATTTCATGGGCCGTAGGATTAAGTGACGGTGTTTCGTAGGTCTCCGAGGCATAATAAGTAGGGTCCAGTTCCCCCGGAATCTCATCTAGATCTAAGAACCGGTGGATCAGTCGGAGGCGCTGGTTTCCAGTGGGCTCAGATGAGGAGTGATCCCAGTGTTTCTTCAACACATAATATTAGCCACGCTCGGCCTTCTATTACCTTGGGAAACAACAATAGTGGCGCAAAACACTCACGTTCAAGTACTGCTCGACGGGTAACTGGCCCCAATGCGGAAGGTATGCCTCGTCCATCACTCCAGGCAAAGAATGCACTGTCATGGGCAATAAAACAGAGTTCTAGACGCTAGATGGAAATACCCTGCCGGTCCAGTGCGGGAAAATGACAGGACGCAGCGTCGCAGGTCACCTGGCTCACGCTAATTTCTCATCTGACCAGGCAAACCATTTTTGGAATAAGTCACATGATCAGCCCTAGAACCCACTTATACAAAAGAAAATATAGACTTGTATGGTAGTTACAAAGTTAATTCTTTTTCTTAAATATATTTGTATAATGTTTAAATACATCTTAAACTAGTTATAATTGTGTTCTATAATATCTCTGTAAGTGACAAAGTCACAAAGTGTGTATTATATCCTGGCATGGTTGGGATTATTGCTACTACCATGATTATCCCTAATTATAATAGACAGGATGGCATATTGCGGGTGTTATATGCGGAAGTGCAGTGTATTCCACATACCCGAGGACGTCTGCAGTGGCTGTGTAGACAGGACTAGCTATTGGCCCGAACATCAAACCTCAATCCAGGGGTATAAATATAGCACTGGAATTGATACTCCATTAAGTGGACCAACACTCCCCGCCTTGTGAGAAGGAACGGCTCGATCAGACTGGGGACTTTTGAGTTCCTCCGAGGTTCCACCGCAACAAGAACTTCGGAACAGTAGACAGGAATCACCCATGGACATATATTTTCGCCGGAGGATTAAATCTCGGGAATAGATAATTTGATAGGTGTGATCATATCTTCAGACATTGGTAGAATGCAAGATGCAGTATAAACTTTTGTCGAAGATAAGATGTTTCACTAGCCAGGATCACAGTAAGATCTTCCGATCTCAGTCCTGTAATTATATATTCAAAGCGAGATTCAAAGGCCGTCCCGTTCTTTGAATCAGATTCCATTGGAGCGGGCATTTACTAAATAATTGTATCCGTTATTGGGCACAATTTCAGTTACGTATTCACTAACATTCTTCTGTATGGCATTGAGGATGCTATCATCCATCACGACTATAACCAGCTGATCAAAAGTGACTGCTTGGTCCTTCCCCAAATATCGAGCTCTCAGTATAGTGGATACCTGTGGCATGGCTACAGTACTGATTTTTAACTTCATCAGCTGCTATGATTTGGAGATTTGGAGAGGATAAATCTTCCACCTTCCATACTTAGCGTCCTTCTGCTTTTATCAGAGGAGTGTAAAGCAATGAACGAATTAATTGTTTTCCAAAGTTATCGCACGGTTCATCCATGACACTTAGAATACCGAAAAACACTCGTCTAAGGTTCCGGTCAGTATTTTCTACTGTAAGAAAAGGGGCAAGGCCGTGTCGAAGACCTCGATAAATGAAATATATAAGCGAGTCCCAACCCGTATATCCGGGGATTTGACTGGATATGGATTAAGGTATCGAGATACAACCATCACGTGGAGTGCCTTAGACGACAGCTTATACATCATGAAGCTACATCTGTAAGGTTAGTGGCCAAGCAACAAATTCTTCAAGTCCAGGATATTGTATCCAATAACTAGGTTTGGTTGATCACCAGTTATTACCTAACGTATGTTTTCGGGAGGCGCAGAGAAAATGCGGGGCCAGCGAGTAAAGTGGAACGTAGTAGGGGGTTTCACACAGAAACAACATGTTTGTCTCCCCAAATTAGCAAAGATTCTGATCTGGCTCGAATGAATCACAACAGTGGCCAGAGGTACAGACGCAGTTGGATGATAAATAGACCGCATATTCAGTAAATAGAATATAGCAGATTGCTTCATTACATCCTACTAGCTTGCAATAGAGACTGTCCTTACTACTGCGGATACACAGCTACCTATCATTTGATCAGCGACCTCAGTATACTTTGTCAAGCCATGTCACCTCTGCAGGGGCTCGTGGGCATGATAAGCTCGATACCTTTCCTGAAAGAATGCATTTACAGGGGTAAAATGTCTTACTTGCACTTGACACGAGCCCGGACATTCAAGAGTCTATAAACGTACCACGCCGTGGGGCCGCAGATGAGTCAGACTGGCAGGATTGCGGCACAAGAAGACAGAATTCTCCTCATTTGGTGTCAATAAAGAAGGTGTACCTCTGTGATGGTACCTTGGAAATCAGTATTACGCAGTAACAAATGCTCGTAGAAGAATAGGCAGCAATTTCGAATTTTTCACGAATAGTCAAAATACATTGACGAGAAATCTATTTTGGCGTCTACTACTTGAGCATCTGTGAGCATCCTAATCTAGTCTGTCCAGTCCCTTGCTGTAACGAAAGGGACAAATCCCAGTCACTCTGATAGGCGATGGTCTTGGGTGGGCAAGGTGGATTGTCCGAGAGATTTTGAGGTAGGGAATCAACACCGAACATCAAGCACGATGGCTCTGATGGCCCTAATACCCAGCTAGAGACGAATAGGATAGAGAAGAATTCTATGCCTACTGCTTGTCTCAGATGAATATATTATCCAATGTTTGTGAGCCACTACCATTCTGGGCGATCCTTGGTGCGAAAGCTACTACTCACTGGTGTGGTTTTCACTCCCCTAATAAACCCACGCGATAGAAACAGGCCATGATCAACGTAAACGTAGACTGGTACTCATGGAACTCGGACCTTTCTTTGATTCCGATTTCCTGGCCAGTCATGCGCATCAAACGTGGACCAATATTGGAGCAATCCCAGTAGGTAATGTCTTTCTGCCACCCCGATGAAATGCAACCTCTACCTGCAACATTCATTCTTCATTCAAAGGTAGACTACCGTCGTAGTGCGAGGTTCTGCAAAAAGGAGCATTATGGGGTTTTTCTTTGGAAGGCCGAGACAGCTTGGTGTCGCAGTGATTTTCTCTGTTATTATCTTCGTTATTTTTCAATTCGTCTATACTGATGACTTCGCTCTCACCGGACACTTGACAGAGTCTATACAGATAGTGGACGCATGTTCGCCTGATGCACTCGAAGATGTCCATAACGCTCGTCCGCCCCTCGATCCAGTGATACCAAACATTGTCCATCAACTGTGGAAAACAACCGATATCAGTGACTATTCTACCATCATCACCGCGTCTTGTGAATCGTGGAAGGCTATGCTCGAGCCCTCCAACTACACAGTTAAGCTATGGACAGATGATGATGTCCTTAAGCTCATCAAAGCAGATTACACTTGGATGCTGTCAACGTACGAAGGATACCCTCACGATATTCAGCGTGCTGATGTTGCGAGACTGCTCATCGTCCACTCCGAGGGTGGCATCTATTCCGACCTGGACGTAAGCCCCAAGTCGGCTGAGCGTATTCGATGCCTCCAGAGACTCCGATTTCAAGCCATCTTCTCCCCAACAGCGGGCACACTCGGCCTCAGCAACCATTTCTTCATGGCCAGGCCTCGATCTCCATTCCTGGAATGGGCCCTCCACGAGGCCAAGCGGCGGAGTAGCAGGCTTGCATCACGAGGAATACTCCTCCCGTACCTGCAGGTTTTCTGGTCCACGGGCCCGATCATGGTAACGGCAGCGTTTAGGCAATACGCATGGCTTTACAACACCCCTCGACCCGATATAGGGCTGCTGAACGACGGGTTCATTGGCTCGGTGGTACAACATGCTGCGGGACGGTCCTGGCAAGGGGTGGACGGCAGGGCGCTGAATTATATCGCGGATCAGGCCGGACTAGGGCTCATATTTGGAGCGGTCGCATGCTTTTCTGCAGTGGCAGGACTCATATTTATGGCTACGAGATACAATACTAGAGCCCCTAGGTGACGAGGTGAGGGCGTGGGTCAGATTTACATTCTTTCTGTTTGATTTTATCAAGCCTTCAGGTGCAGACTTTGAAATGATGCATTATTGTCTAGGTAAACATCTTGCGCACCTTACCACCTTTCGACGAAGAAGGCCCTCGAGTATTTATGGGGGTGTTTAAAAACTATGTCTGGCAAAATCTCTAAACGAATGGGATGTCTTGACAGGGTACGCAGAAGTAGAAAGAAAAGGTTTTCCAGGAGCTCTGAGCTTTCACTTAGGATTTAACTTTAGATATGATGATCCAAAGCTAGCTCTCTCTTGTGGAAAAAAGAGACTTTGGGAAGATTAGAGGTGGCTGTTTCGTAGGAAACAAAATGTTACGATTACATGGCCTTAAGGGATCCAGCGGATCAGGCCCTAGCACTCACTATAAGACACTGATTTTCCAGTTAACAGACTCAGCTTTCGCTTGCCGCGTGGTTTCCGCTCTCAGGAGCAGACAGTCCAAGCAGCAGGGGAGAGCGGGCATAATAAGGGTCGCAAGGTAGTCAGTACGGGAAACTGCAAAACACAACTTCCTAATAGGAGAGGCAAATTTCTGCAAAGAACGGGCAACGGGAAATCTGAAGGGGCTTCGTCAAGGCAATCATGGCTATCTACTCCTCTTAATATGATAGGAACATTTGCGAGGAGTAGGCACGGAAGAGTCTAGGCATCCTACACGAAGTCCTGCTGAAGATTCTTTACGTCCAGGGCTCGCAGAGTAAAGGTATGTCCCCGAAATAGATGTAGTCAGTGTGACGAAATAAAATTAATATGGGGTGCCTCCCACCTAAGAACAGAGCCCTGCGCCTTGCCCACAGAATCTGCATCGCAGTAACACGAACGACCCTCGCAATGGAAAACGCATCATGGCCACGAGCAACCCATCCAGTACCGACGTGGAAGTGTGACCGCCTTTGTGATCTCGGCATTTGCACAATTCAACGTGCCGCGGACGGATGCCTTACATGTGGTAGCTGGCGGGTCTTGGCATTTGAACAGGATTGGCCACGGTCTCATCTCATGCTGCACACGATCATAATCGGTTTACTAACCCTCCACCATCGGCATATCTTCGTAAAAATGAGATTGAAAAATCGAATATAGGGCCTTCTTGACGCTATTAACAGGGATCTGGGTCGCGATCACGATAACGTCGAGTACCGGCTTATGACACGGACGCGACGTGTAGTCAACTCCTCGAGACGGTGGAGAAGCCCGGGAACCTACCTCTCTACAAGTAAGCCCATATACATGTGTTGTCCTTATAGGATAGCTAGGCTTGAACGAGACTAAACGCTCCACTCATAATTGAGATCATGGTAGAGCTAGCTTTTCGCGGCGCAAACGAGATCTAAAAGGTTGTTGCTTCTTTATGGGATCATATAGCGATGCATTTAGGCTGTATTCATATTTAGTACTACCTTAGAATGGGGTTGGCGTATTCTGACTGTGCTAGGCTGAAAGGGTTGGATTTAAACGGGACTGATACATTTCGCTCATCATTCAAGGGGTCTATCAGGTGACACAGTCTATGATGGGTTTAGGCGGATAAGGTGTTTAGAGATATCTGTCATTTACTTTAGACATATATTCACAATCAAAAGAGAAAGGCAACCTCTTGGCTTATGGTGAGGGTAACCATATCTATTCATGGAAGGAACTTATTACATCTCCTGATTTACCGAAAAAGTGTGCTTCGGATATACGTACATGCATGCCCTCTCCAGGACATCCATCTTTCCTGGTACAGTCGGAGAGGCTGAATTGACTGATCACCATGTACAGGCTCCGCTCGTCATCCCAAAATAAGTCGTGTGCGCATTATTCACACCCTGTCCGCCCTGGGCCTCACAGCACTGCACTTCATCCCCAGTGCAGACAAATGTGTTCTGGGCGCCGTAAGGATCAACGCTCCAGTACTCTACACCGCCATGGGCGTACCCCTGGTCCGCCGGGGGCAAGTTTGGGATGCCGTCGTTGGCATGAGTGACCCGGAAATACTGCGTCGTATCTGGGCTCGAGGCTTGGAAGGCATCGTTCATGTACGACGCGAAGGCCTGATTGCCGCTGCGCGGTTCGCCGAAGGTGTACAGGCGGATGTTGTCGTATGTCGCAGACAGCTGGGCGGCAGTGAGTGCTGCCAGAGACGCTCCGAGACTATCGTAGAGTTAGTGAGTATTATACACTTAATTGAAAGAGATCACGAGGGCATACCTGTGGCCCGTCACAGTCAGCGCATAATCCGGATACTCGCTAACCTGCTGTTTGACAAGCGACTCGACTTGGTCCTGGACGGAGACCCATCCAATATAATATCCACCGTGTACTTCACAACCGTTGCACTGGGGCAGGGTGCCGAAAGGGGTGAGGGTGTAGTTAGTATCGAGTTGTAGATTCGTATCACTGCCAGTGCCACGGAAGACGGTGATGATTTCTTTACTGCTGTCGTCGCGGAGAATCCATCCGTTGATGTCAGTTTGAGAGTTGTAAATCTTCTCTCCCTTGATAATAGTCGACGGAATGTTGCACAGGTCGGCGTAGGCAGCTTGGGAGATAGTGGCCATTTCGACTAAACGGCTGTAGAGGTCTTCGGAGATGCCCTGCGTAGAGGCTGCTAAGGCGTGCCCTGCAGTCACCACAACTGCGAGGGCGTGTTTTGCGGAGAATTGCTTCATTTTGAAATAAATGCGCCGGGGCTGCTCGAAAGTATGTCAATGAGTAGTATGAGAAGTCCGTTGGATGAGTGTTTGTGAAGGGATCTATCTCTTAAATAAACCACTGGAAGACTAATTTAGGATAAAAACAAGAAATATCCGACGGTTGTTTCAAGTTCCCTGACTTTATGTCGTATAACAACATGCTGGCATGGCTTCTAAGTATACTCGGCAGGCACATCTCGAGCTGTAGCCGAGAGATGTAACGTAACAATGGGGTCCCGAAATCAACTTGTTTCATATGCGAAACTTCGCGCGACTGACATTACTAGAGGGTCTGCATGACGCCCACTCCTGTCAGCTCCCGATTCAATACACCGGAGCTCATCTATCAAACTACCCCGGAGCTTCTGTCCTTTTCCAATATGGATGATTCCGAAGACTTTGATATTCCGCCGTAGATTCCCCGAAGTATTTCCGACGCAGATCACTGTAACCCTCGACGTTTCGGCAAAGACTACTGCCGATATCGACACCACTATGGATGTTCGAGTGTTTTAGAGTGGAACGAGTAGAGAATGGCCTTCACGTAAGGGTCCAAACCCGTGCATCGGTATGGTGCCCTCGGGACCCACTAGTGGACCCCCAAGCAATTCGAATATTTATATATTTCCAAATGAGAATACTAAGACCATCTAATGTAGTCTGATCGTTAAGGCATAGTAAAAAATGATAAGGGAAAGGCCAGATCAAGCGGCTTGGGCATTGGTCCTTATTAATCGGGATAAACTGGAAGGGATATTATAGGCAGAATGTAAAATATCTTTTTGGGTATTACGCTGGCCAGCTACGAGGAAAATCGATGTAAACATACATAGTCTATAGGTAGCTATGTTTGCGTCTCAGTTTTCTAACTTTGACAGGCTATACATCTGTCTCAGTACCCCGGCGAGGGAGGCTATACTATGTGGTGCTGGCAGCCAAGCTTATTTCAAAGAAGCAAGATGCCGGTAAATTGTGTCAGTATTTACAGCACAGAAATATCTCGATCCCAAATTGGCACCCACGTATAAAATTGAGTGTTTGAGGAACAAAGAAGAACATTTGTATTCAAACCCCTTCCATCTATATGAGTAGATAGCATTTGATTTGGGAATATTATCTCATGATACGGTTGCTGGTCTGCCACTTTAAAAAATCAACAGTTACTCCAGTTGTCCCCGGCTGTTGTACTTGATAACACTATAAACCGGGCCGTGCCCGAAGCAAGAGACTAGTCCCCCTGCCTCCAATCTCACATAATATCTTACTTTCTTGATTTCTTACTCTTTTCTTTGCATGCTGAGCAGCTTGTATGGCTTATAGTAAATAGGACATCAATCGTCTCTCTCTACACCAAACACTCGAAGCGAAGGCAGGACAGTCCCGTAACCTCCGCCACTAGGAGCAAGCCCAAGGCCAAAATGAGTAAGATGGTGTCATATTCACCCCCAGCTTCCAAAGTGATTCTGGTCCTCCTAGCACTTGCCCAACATCGTGAAACCACTCTGTAATCACCAATGACACAGTTCATTTGGACCGAAAGGCCACCACAGCAGTGGTTAAAGTGACAAGCGTGCTTATGGGAGTAGATATTACACTCCGCCCGCCAATGCCCACCGCCCCCCAATAGTGGAAACAATCAGTAAAGGTGGCATTGACAACATTGGAAAGTGCAGCATAGCCTGAACCACAAGTCCAGATGGCCGGCGTAGTCCCTACCAGACGCCATTTACGGCATGTCAGGGACGATAATGATCATCTCTATATCCGAAATATACCGAGGGCAATGAGGCTTGTAGGCCAAAATTTGCATCCTTCTTCATGTTTATTGTCGGCATGGTTGCAGATTCCAAGTCATGAAAGTACAAGTCCGACTGTCAGATTGTCAACATTACGATGGCTGTATCGGTGCTTTACAACGCACGAGACAATAACTTCGCTATTATTCTTAGCCCCACAAGGATCGGCATACCGCATAGTTGTCTTCTTCGAGACACGGCACGTAGAAGGACGAGATCTAGCATGTCTGAAACCGGTCTAAAATAGTACGCTTGGCATAATGTAACTGAGCGAGTGATGTCCAAGCCTTATAGTGTCCAAATGCCTGTCACATGTCACCCGAGGAAGGGTTCTACTATAGTACAGTACTAATGTCCAGTGAGCCTTCGGAGGGCCGATCGTCATGGAGTACATGTGCCGCTCTTAAACAGTAGCAGTTACACCTCCAAAAATAGACAACCAAGAGAACCTTTGTCTAGCTATTCACGGTGAGATCCCAGGACCATTGGATCAGGGTCCAGAGCCCAGACTTCGGATAGCCTTGGCTTGTGGAAGCTACTGCAGCAAGGTGGGATCTGAACGACCTATTAAGGCGTTTCTGTAAGCCGAACCAAGGTAATATTTCTGTTACGCACCCTCTCTATTGAGAGCGTATACTTCCGTAAATAGAAACGAAGGCTTATGCAGCAAAGGGAGGGTCGCCTGGAATGATTGGATTGAGGTTGTAAACAACTGGGAACATGCGAGCAAGCAGGGTAGGATGGCGAAGTAAGTTAGAGGGGGTGGTTCCTCTAGAGGCGAAGAAGGCGCTCCTGCCGTCTGGGCTGGATCAATGTAGGTCCGAAGACCCACTCAAGACCTCAACACTCGGAGTATCTGTCCCTCGGTTATTTATCCAAAACTTTAGCCCCTAACCATATCCGCTGCCGATTAAGAAGATAATAACCTGTACACCTAACAACCTAGGAAATCAAGTTATTGGTCAAGATGGGGTACCGGATATAAGTCGGCATTCCCATGAAGACGAGTTTTGCACGGCCTTCATGTCTATGTACTAGGATGTTCGAGTTGCAAAGCCTAAGCCAGTACTGATCTAATCAGCCACGCCCAACAACAGCCACTTTTTACCACCGAAATATTGCTAGTGACCTTCATATGGGACAAAACTTGGCGTTCCGCAGTGCAAATGGTACATTATTGGCGACAGATACCAATCAGGCTTATTTAGATGGATGTCAATTAGTTAAACGCCTATGCCGGTCGGATGTGTTGATAAGTTTACAAAGCATCATATGACGGGAATATCCAAGCGACCTATGATTTAGCCTGATTTAAGGACTTCATTCATCGATCGGCCATATGAAGGGGGGCCAATTGTAATGGTAGCAGCAAACCTCGACGATCCGATTTCTTCACTCTGGTCTATCTTATTTATCTGTAATAATTCTATCTGATTCCAAGTAGTTAACGGATCTCTCCACATCTTGGCAGTTTTGATAACCTTGATACTATCGTGCTGTAACAGTCCCTAACAGCAACCCATTTTCTAGACTGTCTTCAGCGGACCAAGGCAATGAATATGATTTAAGTCCACTACAGATCCTCTGATACGTAATTCTACGGGCATGCAGGGGGCTGAGGAATGAAGTAAGAATTCTTTCACAATGCAACATTATCCAGAAATATATCCCTACACGAAAAGCTATCTCCGAGCCAACCTTAAACTTCATTGAGGAATGGGCTATGATTTTGGGGGACAATACCGCCAAACCATCGATTGACTGACGTTAGAAGGTATGGTGCACTGTCCAGGCCCATGTGTTGAAGCCGGCAGAACTGTACAGTCCTATTTGTAGGAATAATGCCTGACTAAAAGTAAATACCTCAGGTATAATGCGGACTAATGTTGAACGGTGTTGCCTCGTGTCCTCTTTAGAAACCAAGACCTACCGTATGGCGACGGTACTCTACCTGCTAATGTAGGCGGCAAGTTGTGGCATGAGGGGAGTCAGGTGGTGTGGCAGTAGTGCCTCTCACAATTCATTACTGGAGCTTTACTGCAGTTGTACAACTTTTCGTTACTTCCCAGCTTCTATACTGTCAAGCATTCGATCAGTACTAAAACTGGTATGGTACTCACCACCCTCACTTCAGTCAATTGTACCATTTAAGCCCCGGGTTGCGATAAAAACTCTACTATAGCCATTAGTATACACAGCATGATCACCACACGTACAACCTTCGTTTGCCTGGGGGCTATATTGCATGAACCAATCATGGCATCTTATTCACGGGCTGTACTAGCGCGGTCATAATATCAAGAATGTTGCGATTGGGGATGGGATTTAATTCCGGTTTAGCCTGGAAATGCAGGCGCAGGATAACGTAGTCTCTCTAGCTTCTAATAGCCTGAATACCGGCTGAACCAAATCTAGTAACAAAGTGATCTCTTTGACTGATGCTATAATAAACAGGGTGAAGGGTAACCTCTGCATAGACCAGAACTCTTGATTCACAACGGGTTCTTTCTGGGGCGACAAAATGTGCTACTCTCGTTCATGCCCGTGTGTAAGGAATTGGAGGCAATATGAGTATTTGATATGGACAATTAACTAGTAAATATACGAAGACAATGACCCTATTAGTTAAAAAGAGGTGTTGATGCCATCCCTTTCGGTGGTCACCTTTCCCTAACCCCACCTCTATAACTGTAGTTGGTGTTATACAATCCCGGGCATTTGACATGGATAGCAGTCTTAAATCCCATCAGGACGCCTTCAAGCTGCAAAGTTGATGTTCTATACTATAAATCTTGAGCCCACGCGGAGTGAATTTCCGGACTTCGCCGGGCTGCCAACCTGGTTCAGTATTCAGCGACTATCTCCGGCTGACCACTCCATACACAGACCACATATAAGAGACAATCTCAAGAAAACAACTTCTGGGATATAATCATTTCCGAACAAAGTCTAGGGTTTAAACTAGAAACATCTCACACCAGAAAAAGAAGCGAGGCCTTACACACGAGGCTAACCTCGCAATTACCGTCGCAACGCAGCAAACACACACAGTGGAATCGGAAACAGGCTTTCTGTTGCCTCACCCTCTAACCACAGACCACATTTTCGATGTTGCATATGGGCGTGGCACCATCACAATGGGTTTTGCCAGATATACTACCCAAGGTAGGACGATTGGCTTTGACATATCACCAGGTGTCCCGCGGACGGCGAAGAGTGTAGCAGCGAAAGCCAGCTGCACTATGGAGTAGGAACTTCCAGGCTCCGTTACCATATAGAAAGGGGGCTTCCTGAAGGGGCTGCCCTATGCGGATGAGACATTTGATATCGTTTTAATGTGCTCAAGTTTTTGGTTAGCTACCGCAACCAGACCTGCCACTCAGGGCGAAATGCGACATGCGAGGAGTCCTAAAACCTAATTGTATCCTCGCCACGTATGATGGACCGAGTTCGCATCTCTACCCATGGAGGCAGAACCTAAATCGCCTATGGGTACAAGTTCCAATTGGGGGGTGTATGGCTCCGAGGGTAGCTGGAGCCACGACGTTGATTCAAGAGCGGCAATCGTGCAAACCCTGTCCTGCAGAACAGAGTTTGATGCCAACGCTGGCTGTGTTCGCATCGGTGTTGGTACTGCCTTTCATTCAGGCCGAGAGGCTAGGGAGTAGCTAGCTAGTTTTGCTGAGAGTCAGTTGCAGAAGGAAGATCCCGGGGACAGGGCTGGTTGCGTGCCTGCATCTCAGGGGAAGGAATTCAGCACACACTACTGCTGTGATTAATTGGGCCGAGCTTGGGTATTCGTGGTATGCGGCGTTGCAGTGTGGGGTCCTTGGCTGGGTGTAAATAATAGTCGTGACGACTTTTGCCTAACGGCACAAATAGGGTGGAGAAAGAAGATGTCATCAGTACTAGTTCTATCCAGTGAAATAATACCCGACCGGCTACCGCTTCTGTATATCTTACGTTATACGAACTCCGTAGTATTGTAAAAAAAGAGCAGTATGCATGACAACAGATCATCTTTTGATCCATGAATATCAGATTATATATTCTTCGTACTATTGGCCCTCTCTTCATATTAATGCTCGTTATCGTTTGCATCATCAATATCATATTTTGCATTATCGCACTATTAGTCCTCATTTAACAAGTAACCTAATATACTACTTTTCTGTGCCTCCCCGCCAGAACCCATTGCTTAGTAGTAGTCAATAAATCAACATATGTTCCACTACCGACTGACACATTACTATCCGCAGTAGTACTCATCTGCTTAACCAGACACTAGCATAAACAGAGTACATACGAGCAAGTGCATCACCAATTTAGTTGCTCAACCGCAGACCGGTGCCCCAATCGGTCTCCATAACACGCATCATAGACGGCGTCTAATTGGACAGATAATCGTTGAGTTGGCTTGCCATTATATTTTGGCCTGCCACCAATATCTATAAATTGTTAACATGGTGGTCAGTCCCTTACATCTGCTTGATTTACCGCCTGTGAGACAGCCCAATCTGTGTTCTTATGCATGCCTACGCCCCATGAAGCGATGTTTTCAGCTGTACCCAGTCTGACCAAAGACCTCATCGTATCCTGGCTGGCTATATATTGCAGTTGATTGTCCGGTACCTCGTAGTCGTAACCGACTGACCTAAGGGCATTAAGTATGGTAGGTAATAGGTCACCTCCAGTTGCTTCAAGTTCATGGTCTGAGCCCTGTACTGAAGTCTTCAGTTGAACGAGTGTAGCATCCCGATTTCCTTTGGCCTGATTGGCTCTGCAATTCAGCAGCCGGAATCGTTCAGATTCAACATGCATATAGTGTTTCCGGAACAAGCGACATATAGTCTCTCGGGTAACCTCAAAGCCACTGGTATTCGCATGTGCTTTCACGACCTGCGTGAATTCAATTTCCAGATCTCGCGGCATATCAATATCAAAACTCTCTTTGAGAAGCCAGGCACCACCGCCTTTACCACTTTGAGAGTTCATCCTCACAATAGCTTCGCGTTGCCTTCCCAGATCAACTGGATCCATGGGGAGATATGGCATTTTCCACTTGGACGCCCGTGTAGCTCCAAGTCTCTCACTTTCTTTGAGTTTGTTATAACCCTTTCGTATGGCATCCTGGTGCGTATCGGTAAAGGTGCAAAATACATATTTCCCTGCATAGGGAGCTCTAGGATGGACGGCGATCTTTGTGCACTCCTCTGCCATAGCGACAACCTCATTCAAATTGCTCAGGTTAACTCTGGGTGAAATACCATGAGTATATAAGTTGAGGGCCAACGTGACGAGATCGACATTTCCAGTGCGTTCGCCATTCCCGAATAGACATCCTTCAACTCGGTCTGCACCAGCCAACTGAGCCATCTCGGCTGCTGCCACGCCGCATCCTCGGTCATTGTGGGGATGAATTGATACGCAGACCTTTTCTCGCTCGGAGATACCGCGGCAGAAGACCTCGATCTGGTCAGTGAACACGTTTGGCATTGTTGCTTCGACAGTTGATGGAAGATTGAAGATGATTTTGTTCTCAGTGGTGGGTTCCGGGTTCCCAGGCTAATTTCATAGCTTCGCAAATCTCAATTGTGTATTCCACGGATGTATCTTGAACGATCCCATAAAGGTTTTCATGTCTTGGATGAACGATATTAGCCAAAGGCAGCGGAGCCTTTGAACGTTGAGAGAGGGTGCCAGTTGCACGACGGTTGATGATAAAACAGGGTGAGAGATATGTTCAAGCTTGTTCGTGGACTCGAGCCATGATGGCTGAGACATTAATGAGACACTAAGCGTGTCAGAATGGGAGCATATACTCATTATACTCGTTACGAAGCTGCAACACCTACAGGTAAACCACAAGCTCCAACTGCCAGTTATCGTGTAATGTCTTAACGCCATCTCGGGCGTTGATTATCTGTTGTAAGCCATCACGATGCATTTTCCAGTCTTCCACTGTGCCCCAGTAGCGCTGCGTCAGACCTTATTAGTTAAACTTCGACCAGGTACTTTATCATGACAACCTTATCTTGAAAGTCAACAGACGCACAACAGCCGCAAAGGCATTATCAGATAATTTCTTATCCGGATCACCGAGCCAAAGCCGCAGGATTCGAATAGCCTTAATCTTATACTTCAGGGCATCGGAAGAAATGGTCCCTTGTCGAGGAGGAGTTCCAGCGTATAGGTGAGACAAATGCGCAGCGGAGTGCGCTAACATGCAGTTGAAAGATGAAGCATTTGAAAGGTCCAGAGGAAATCAGACATCTTTTATTGGATTAAATTCGGTGACATCTAGGTCTTCAAAGATCATAGCTGTATGTGTGCTAATCCCGCAACAAGGCAGATCATCATGTAAGCAAGAAACAAAGGAAAATGTTTTCTACAGGTCAGCTGCCGAGATCGTTGACGGTAACGTTGGGCATACGTACAGTGATATAAGAGCTTTTGATGCTGACTCGTCAAATGCACTGGACACGTTTGGATCGGGTCGGGTCGTGAGCTCGAGAGCGCGTGGCTCATACGGGAGAGTATCTGGGCAGGCATTCCAGCTTGTTGGCGCTGCTTAACTACCTTTTCTTCCGGAATCCTATCCCCGCCCCTATCGCCATCCAGCTGCGGTGCCGGCGAGCTACTACTAGTAAACGCCTCGTTCGAGGGACTCGCTCCCCGTGGTCGTAGAGGAAGCGATGACTATTCTTCCTTCCGGTTCAACGTTTTCAGCTCCTGGTTGCGCTTGTGTCGTCGCTTCTAGTACTCTCTCATCGCATGGCTCCGCGCTTCCGACTGGATGCTCCCTGTCACGAATGTGAAGCGGGACGTTCCCGATTCAGTTCCTGTTCCACTCGAGGAGCTGGAGATTCGCGGGGACATTTTTCAATTTTGGCCATGAGCTCCAACAGGAAGTTGCTGGGCAATGCGGGGGCTAACCTAGATTAAGCCTTTTAAGGTGAGGGGCCAAAGGTAGTATGTTTGAGATGTCAATCACATGATCCTTCGCCGAACCGCGTCTGACGAGCGGACCTTGGCAAGGGTGGACTTGATTAGTCGACTGAGCCAAATGGCCACAAGCTGTGGCTGACGATGGGTCGGTATTGGCTACGGAGTACCAGTCAGACATGTTATGGTTCTTCTACCAGCCACATATCAGAGTGGGTCCATCCCGTCCAAATCGTCACACGTCCCATAGCAGCCTATGGTTTGATACGAGGTGGCCGATATAGCCAATTATTTAGTGGATAGAAGCACCTAAAAGGGAGGTTTGAGATTGGTCGTAGAGAGCCAGACAGGTGGCCGTCCGTCGCTCCTGGCTCAACAAAACTGTTACATCATGGTGGTATTCGGCTACCTCTGATGTGAGAGTAAAGTCTTGGAGCGTAGGAACGATAGCTAGAAGCGAATCATCGGGCTAAAGTGTTATTGAAGTTGTCGCTATCTCGAGGCTATGTAGCTGGGCGCGAGCAAGGGAGTCAACAAGATACTGAGGTGGTCATGTGACAGCTGTAGGCAACCTTGCCTGCTAGTTAGGGAGCAGGTGCTCCACCATGAACCACACATGAGACATTTTCACCGATTACTGTCTACAAATAGGTCCGACACACTTGACCTTGTAAGTTTACCTTTATCATTGATATTTTCGAAGACTTTTGGGTTAAGAAGGTCATCGAATCACATTGCCTTCTGGAAAGAGCAGCTTATACGGATTCCTAACAACATGGGTGAAGTGGATTCGCCCTATTTAGGGCCCCGCAGCCTTGATAGCTGCTTCAGTACGCTGTTCTAGCTTAGACCAGAGGTCGTGGTTGACACGGCCGAAAAGGCCTACCCTTGATGTTAGCCGTCTTCCCTAGTAGACTAAGTCGCGGAAGACATTCCGCTGGGGTCTCCGGGCAACTTACTGTACACAGCCTTGCGGAACTCAGGATACGTAACACCCTTGATGCTGCCGACAAGGTTTTCAATGACCCTGTCCTGGTGACCGGCCTCGCGGCCAACGATATCCCACAACGCTGCGGGTTGCACGAAATCGTCGTCCGTGATCTCACTGGTGTAGGCGGAGACCTCTCCCACCCACTTTTCGTGCTCGGTGTGTAGGGCCAGTGCTGAAGCGCCACCTCCCTTCTGCTCCTGATAAAACCTCGTGGGCTTAATGGAGGATCCGACATAGTTGGGGTTGCTGCCATAGTTCTCATCAAACCGCATGGCTCCGTCACGTTGGAGAGGACAGTAGACTTGCACCTTCGCCGCGTTTGTAGGAAGTTGTTGAGTTGACGCCGAGGCGGTAGCGCGCTGCATTGGGGTAGGCAAAGAGCCGTGCTTGGAGAACTGCACGTTGTTATTCCAATCGTCCACCAGGAAAGGGATTTGGCCTGTTTTCAAATCTTACCTGGATCAGCGGACGCCGCGATTCCGGGAACCATCGTTGAGGGTGAGAATGCAGCTTGTTCAATATCGGCGAAGTAGTTTCGCGGCGGCGTCCCTGACATCATCGGACAGAAGATTCCAGTTTATGCACCTCTTTTCTCTTCGCTGTCGGATCTGTCGTCTTCTCTGTAGCCCATATCATTGCCGTGCTGATATACCGGACGAGTTCTCCTTGATTTCACAAGTTACTGGCAATCAAGTCCTTTGCCTGTGGACATTCGTCCAAATACTTCCATTAGCCTCACGGCAATCTCACTAATCCCTCCTTGCTAATCTATGGCAATGGTCCCATAGGAGACAAGCGTCTGGGGGATATCAATTTGAAAATGAGTATGTTAGAAGATGCAGAGTTGACGGATAATTGATTTCTGGATCTCGAAAGGCTCAGATATCAGTAGTAAATAGTTAACGAAGGAGAATGAGTGACTAACCGAGGACAAATGTAACTATCGATGGGGTTTTTTCTATTGGCTGGAATTCTGCTGGAAGTCTCCATCCGTAAGGAAAGATAGACCCACCAGACTAAACCCAGAAAGGTCAACCATCGCGATCTCCACCAGGAATGAGTATAGCACGGGCTGAATACGACATGGCGTCGCCGAAATTTCTTTACAGATGGCTATCGGAGTGAGGGCGCAAAGAGAGATTGCAGCGGCGTATATATAGGGCCATTTGTCTGGCCAAGCAGTGGCTATCTCCTGCAGTATTACTCAGTGTATTTGATCACCATGGTCGCTATCACTGCATCGAAACACCATCTGGCCATCGCAGAGATAGTCCTCTTTTGCCTCGTCCAACTCATCCAGTTCATTACCCGGTACTCCCAGGAATGGCGGTACTGGCACCACACCAAGCGCAAGTCACATCCGCGGTGCATCTTCTACGCCTGGTTCGGAATGATCGGGCTGCTCGCGCAAGGTATGTGCAGTCACCAGAAGCACATTACATAGGCACATAACACTCAGTAATTCCGCCACAGTACGCATTGCCAGTGCAGCGATCGTGCTTTCCGATCCTCACCCGAACAAGACCAAACTCATAGCCGAGCAGTCTCTCCAACACATCGGATTATCCCCCCTGCTCTTTGAAATGAGCCTCGTCCTCTTGCGCAGGTATGCCTTGCCTGTTCTTATCCCATATTACATTAAAGGACGACCATATCTAAGATCGAAGAAAATAAAAGCGGCCAAACGGGTCGATCAGGCCCCGTAAACTCGCGATACCCCAGATTCACCCGCTTTGCCCTGCACTTCTTCCACTTCCCCGTGTTCTTCGGCATCGTGCTCCTCATTGTCGCAGCCTGCACGGGTATCCGCGCCTGCGCCCTCGCCGGGGCTATTGTACTGGTCCTTGCCTTCGCGGTCGGGGTCTTTCTCACCGCGTGGCTGGCCATCGGCTATCGCACGGTACTGCCGGCCGCAGGCCGGCACTGTGTTCTGCTGGTCCTATGCGCTGTTCCCATGTATACCGTTCTCATTGCGTACGCGCTTTTGACCGAGTTTGGCCCGGCAACATTCAAATCAGGCCACGAGCAGGTCGGGGTCACGGTTGGTATGGGACTCTTGATGGAGCTTGCGATCATCACGTTGTTGTTCGCAGCGCGTACTGTGGCGGAGCCGTTTTGGGCGACGGACTGTGTTGAGGGTGTACAGGCTTGACTGAATAATGGGCTCGGATATAGGCGGGTAGCTGTCAGACAGATAAGATTGCTTAGATTGGCAAGTCAATAGATTACTGTTTGAAGGTTCGCAGACTCAAAGCACCATAGTGCTGCGACAACCGCTGTAGCCACCCTTCAATCCATGCCTTCGTTGGAGAATCACCCACTTCATAGGCCACGCGCAGGGGGAACGCCATCCGTAATGGTCCCAACAGCCCGCACGCGGTATACTCGACGGATTTACAGATCTGGTCGCGGTAGAATACCATATACATCGCCTGGGTGCTGGGAATTCCGAAGCTTGTGGTTCGCAGCACCTGGTGCACAATAGTCATGTAGGCATAGTAGGCGCAGAATATCGGCGCGGTGTCAGCACTGGCATAGTAGAACACTATCGGGTAAAGCACATCGTTCGCCGACGAAGGGACCTCGCTGGGCGGCGGCACGAGTTGGGTGAAGCGCTCGTACCACATTTCGAGCTTGTCCCGCATTGCAAGCGTCTCGGAAATGAGCTTGGATATTTCGAGCTGAGTGTCTGGATCCGTATGGTTCGCAGTGCGGATCTTGAACATCCTATGGATTAGATCCGGGATGGAGGTGAATGAGGCGAAGAGATCTTCAATTTCGACTTGGATCTGATGCGAGATGATGTTGTCAGAGTCTTGTTGCATGACTGCGTGCCACTCATGCCCTGCAAGAAAGCACTCCTCGCCGGAGAAGACTGAGTGCATGACAATGAGCCCCCGGGATGCCTTGAGCAGGTTATTTTCGAACTCCCCACGATAGCGACTAGGTCCGCGAAATCTGACCAACTGACCCAGCCCCTTGGCGTGCTTCATCCACGAGGTCGAGTCGGTGGAGTTTGCAAACAGCTGATCCGTCAGTGAAAGGCATTGTCGAAATCAAAACACAAAAGCTCACCTCGTACATGCACAGCAAAATAACAGCACACAGCACCTCCGGACAGACCGACTGAACATGATCGTCCAGCGCGCGTTGAAGGGCCGTCAATGCCTTGACATACGTAGACCGCGAATAGCGCACCGCCTGCACGTTCTGTGTCATGTGGCCAATATGATGCGCGACGAAGCAATTAACAGCGGCATCCAGCGTCCGATTCCGGCCGTAGAATTCTGGCAAGAAACGTAGCCATCGCGCAACCGCGTACGCTGAAGCCGTCGTATACGGCCAGGCGAGGTCGTAGACGATGTTCTGTAAGCTCTGGGCCATGTTCAAATCCCTCGATGGTGCCGGTCCGGGACTGGGGTAGCGGGTCTGTAGTGCAACACCCTGGCTAGCCGCCGATGGCTTTTTCAAACGACGTGGCGTGCGAAAGGGCTTGCCAGCCACGAATTTGAACCCGCGATCATACCCAGGGCATTCTCTCCCGTAGATCTCGCATCGTGCGCAGCCGGGGAGCGTCTCGTCGCACTGTGTTCATGAGCGTGTTGGGCTAGCAGGCGAGTATTCACATATAACTGACCTTTACGTGACGTTGCACACAGAGAAGACAGCCACTGCTTCGGCTTCCAGGCATGATGCAGTTTGTAACTATCAGCGACTGTTGGGAGGGAGCACGAGGGCCCGAGTCATGTTTGTTCATTGGCTTCGTGACTCCGCGGCTTACCTGCTTAGTCATCGGTTCTGTGGCGAACCTTTCACAATGGCTAGATATTTGGGTGCCCTCTTTCTTCATGTATGCATCTTGCATCTTTCACATAACTAAGCCAGCGCGAATAAAATCCATTTAGGTATTTCTACCGACAGGTCCCTCGATTCCGAACTTGCGGATGGTTTTTAGTCCCCAAGCACTGAACCGACCGGCCGTCTGATAAACAATGCATGTTGCGATTCGTAACCCAACATCTTATTTTATCTCAATGGGGTCATAAACTCCTTCCAGTAATCTATAATCTTTCCATTAATTGTGACACAAAAGTTCTTGTACTCATGCTCACGATCACTATTCTCCCACCGCAAGAAATAAATTAGATACAGGGTGTGTTGACCTTGATAGAACACGGGTTGATCAAGCCACCCGTGCTGCCAATCTGTTAACCCTGCCAAAGGTACACGTCGGAGCCAATCAGATTTCCTAGATTAAATGGGTTTGTACGGTTCAGCTCCTTAATATGCGTGCCTGCCAGGTCCTCTGGAAAATACACGGCCATAAATTTATAGTACTCTATTGGGCCAACATACTGAGTCTGGAATACACCCTCATCGAATGCGGCCCCCAGTGTCTGGGAGAGATTAATCAGAGATACTTGGACTGATTATTCAGAAGCCCAGGTGGCAAGGATCTTGATAAAAGACTGGTACTCAGCTGAGTTGATGAATTTGTTTCTTATATCGGCAGAGCCCCAGGCTGGAAAAAAGAAAAAAGAAAAGAAACGTCAGAAAATCTTTTCCTCGGGTTCCTGAGAATCATACTCATTGAGATATCTTGGGAAACTGACCTAGCATAAGCCATTCAGTCTGCGGTCTTTCCACCGGGCAAGATCGTCGAAGCGTTAGATAATACCGGTAATCCCATTGCTCGAAAATAGGTTGGAAGAGCCGAGTGACGGGATCTGATAGATCCTGATATGTCGCACCTGTACCTGGGTTCAATACGATCTAATTAACTAACTTAGTGTTTTGTCTGGTTCTATGTGGCTGCCTCAGAGCGAATGGTGACGTATCACGGGAAGCCTCGGGCAAGAAATCAGGGAATTTGTGCTTCGCCTGCGCTCTGGTAATAGGGGGCATTGTGTGTGGGTGTGTGGGTGAAAAGCTGAGAATGTCGGAGGAAATAAGGTGGGCAGCAGGTGGACCATGTTGGACGTATCTATTTATTATCGAGTGTCATCTCAACGGAAAAGGGGAGGTGGGGGGGCGGTGGGGTGGGCGATGAAACATTCGACCCGAAAAGCTTTTTGTACGGACTCCCAGTTAGTACTTCTGAACTTTGGGTAAAAATGACCGCTGGAAGGAATACTACGGACTACTAAGCTCACACGCTAATCCAGATTTGTTCAAATAATTACACCCCAGCTAGGGAGTACCAAAGAACAAGCTAGTGGTATTGTACCCACAAGGCCAAAAAGGCATTCGTTGCCCGCAGTTACCTGCGAACTCTTGATATAGACATGTACACACACGGTGATTATATCAACAATATAGATTACGATAATAAATGATACAAGCACTTCTATAAGAATGAAGGAGAAAATCCAACGATTAAGAATACTTTGATATATATAATCAACGTAGTATATTAATATTCACAGACTGAACTTATTCATAACTATATGCTGTTGATATTCTCAACCTAGATAATTGTCCTATTCCACTGGTCAAATATTCATCGAAGGAAATTATAAATGCCCTTCAAGACGTTCACCCTCTACAGTGGCCCAAAAAAAAAAAAAAAAATGGAGAGAAAAGAAAAGAAGAAAAGAAAACAACATGAATAAAACAAGCACTCACGATATAAATGAGACAAAATATGAGACAAACAATGAAATTGATATTACTGTATCGTCGATACATATGAGAAATACACATAAACTATTCACGCAATCACACGAAAGAGAAAGTGAGACTATTTGAATGAATGACTGTACAAGATCCGAACGATGGTCCCAGGCAACACATCATCGAAATTGGACGATACATTTCTTAGATATCAAATACAGATAAATGAAGATGAAGCAGATAAAGCTTGAACAGCAACTGAATACAGTAGCATCAAATAAAAAACAAGCGGAAAAGAAAACCAATGATTTGGTGATGGAAGGGTCTGACAGACACGCACATGACAGCTCACCGACTTCGACCCCAAGAGTCCTTGAACACAGTGGCTGCTAACCCCCGTCCTTCAAGCAGGCTTGTCACTTACTGGGGGGTGCCCACAGCATTCTGCACTGTTTTGTAATTAACAGCGTGTTGAGGAAGCTCCGAAGCCTTTGCCTTGCAAGTTGCCATCAGGCCAAGATGACCTGTTTTACCTATCATGGCTTTGGGGATTCCCAACTGGTACACAGCATCATCCCCGGAAATCTTGGATAGACGAAGTGTCTCATCTGGCGTCTGATGCTCGACGGTCTTGAGGTAGGAATCGATACTGTCCGGATGATACCAAAGTTTCTTTCCGTCGTACGTCTCCGGGATCCAAGCCTTTTTGGCGGCGAGCCACTTGCTTTGCTCGGCGTAAATGACACAATGCCTAGTCCATGGGTGTTAGCCGAAGTGGAAAAATGGGGGGTTTTCAGTCCAGCGTCAGCCCTTACCAGTAACTGTCTGGAGCTTTCCATTCTCCAGGAGCGGGTGTGAGGTAGACCACATCGCCTAGCTGAACCCCGCTAGCTGTATACCAGACGACAGTCCCCTGTTTGTTATACGCTTCGGCTTTCGACTAGACGTTGTTACATGTCAACTTAACGAGCTGCAACGAGCTGCGGCCGGGACATACCTTTTCCATAGTGCGATAGCCGATAATGACTTTCTGGTCGCGCTCCACCAGATCGACTGGCGCTGAAGCAGCAAACCCGAGCACGGCCAGGGCCACCATCAGGGTCTTGGTAGCTGAGAAGAGCATGATGGAAAGGGACTGCTGTGTGGTTGAATAAATGATATGTCGACTAATATAAGAAAGCAGTGGCAAGAAATTAAAGACTTTGTCTAATATGGCTGCACCGGGCAGACTGGCTGTTATTAAAGAAAGTATGGTTGCATGATAGAACGTTCATGCGTCGGCAGGCTGCTATTTATGTTCCAGCGAGCTCCATACAACTTTCGCCGACGTCCTTCTCTATGTTACCATAATGTATTTCCTTGGTTGCCATGTTCAGCATACATGGGGCTAGACGTGAGACATGATAAGCTGGGGGCCAATAAGGCAAGCCCTACCAAAGGGACGTGTTGGCGTCTGGCCCTCAGATTTAAGAGCATTGTCGGTTTGAGGCGCTTGTAAAGCAACTGTGGTCCTTCTGAATTGATTGGGAGGATGGATTATCCCTCATCTACTAATAACGTGTCTTCCAAAGGTGTATGTCGGATCTCAGAAGATTCCGCAGATAGACAGTCAGTGACAGTACTAAAGTCAATGGCCGTGGACGTCGTGTGGTCTTAGAGCTGTGAAAATAGCGAGCCGAGTAAGACAGAATCCTGGCCCAGGATATGGTGTCGATGGAAGCCTCTACGCCAACCAACGAGCTGCTGGCCGGGCAAGGGACTGTCACTGCTGGGGCAAACAGCTGAATCCTTCCATAGATAGTCTCCATTCCTAGTGGGCAGTTCTAGGCGTACGGATGAGCGTTGTAATTGGCAGGATGACGGATTGACAGGCCATGTACTCCGTAGTTGCCGTGGAAAATGGCTCACTTACGCCCCCCCCAAAATGTCAAACCGGCCCCCAACTAGTTAATTTAATTGAAGTGCTGCGGCAGTGCCTTGTCGCCTTGGTCCCAACGCGGGCTAGCGGGACCCTGATGTTCCGCCCGCATTGAGAATCGCCGAGTGAACTGTTCCTCCCACCATCTGCCACGTTTCTGTCGACGCATTCTATCATCCTACCACTACACAGACGCAATTATTTCCCAGAGAGCCATATCGGTGAAAGCCCCAGCGAAAGCGTTATCGTCATAAGATCCAAAAGCTGGCGAGTTCAATAAACCGAGTCAATGAACTCGCCCGTTACAGTCCGTTCCATTCTTTGCGAAGGACCATGGGTTTGGAATGACGGCGCAAGTGAAGTTACCTTTCACGAGAATGGAACAGGGAAGGTGAGCTCAACGACTGAGGACTCCCCTTTCCACCACCACGAGTTGACCCTTGTCATGCAGCTGTTCTGCTCTACCGAGTACACCTGTTGGATCTTTGCCGAGATCGACTGGAAGCCGCACAATCCTGCGTCTCTCGATCAGGTCATTGATCTCTGTAACAATAGGAAGCAACCAACAATCCTGGCAGACTTGACCATCGAGATGACCCTCACGACGCGCCGACCACCCGATATTTGGTGGAAGGGCAAAGTCAATGAGGACTGGCTAAATGAAGAGGCGTTTCGCGCAAAGACCTACCGTATATCGCTGGAGCACGGCCGGTTTCGGAACCAGTTCGACGTCAAGCATAACGTACGAAATGGCGCACGATATGCCCTACGCATAGTGTTCGATCCCTCGCCGTTTCCGCCCGGGGAGGAGTGGAATCACGAGAGTTCTGGACCGCATGTAATGAGACTCTGGGAATGTACAGAATTTAACGCTAGAAGGTATTCCGAGGAAGAACTAACCGGATGGGAAAGGCTGGTGAACTGGTATACCGAATGGACGTCGTGACGCGGGATAAGGCCATGTGAGGTCATTTCGTTTTTCTGGAGCTGCTCCGTGCAAAATCCGACTTATAGCTCTACAGTCTACGCACTGGTGAAGTGAACCTTATAGTTAGATTGAAGGGAATGCTATCATCTTATGTACCCCACCTAGATAGAACACGATATTCATGCGCATCTGTGGTGAGGGGGAGCATATGACGACCTGAAAGGGGAAAGGCACAGGAGTTGATAAAAGAATAGATATAGCTCGGTTAGTTGTACTGGTTGCTGCTAGCGTATGTTACGTGGACGAGAATTATTGGCAGTCTACGATCCGGGTCACTCTGCTAACCGAGTAAAATTTTCGTTGTTGAGGCTTTTGGGCTTGCGTTTCGCCACGACGACGGGATAGGCAAATTGAAATACCCCACCTAACCTGGTACCAGCGGATTCGGATAGGGCGTCGTGCCGGAAAGGCCCGTCGAAATTGCTGGGAACTCGGGAGATCGACGTGTTAGCATTGAGGAAGGGACGCTGCTTGTGTTCTGGTTAGGCTGTCGCGAGGGATAACCAACTCCACTCAAACTAGCCAGTAGCTGCAGCCACTCGCAAAGGAACAACTCCCTTTCTCTTCGATAACAGCACTGGTCAATCACAGGCCGTCTCCTCTCCAGATGATCCTCGCCGACTTACCGCCCCCATCTTTTTAGCCCCAACGACTGCCACATTGTGTAGCCAGTCTTTGGACGTCGAGCTGGATTTGGGGTACTACCTTGACGTGATCGAAAACACCCGATGATCCCAGCCCATTATTACTCGGTACTGTCAGAATCGGTCAAGTGTGGCTTGATGAGTGTCTATAAATACCGTTTGACAAACGGCTGCGCCCCTCCGCCTCGACAGGATTGTGTGTTTCGGCTTAAGACCATTCAAGACATGCGCTTCTTTTAAGTCAGAGGCGTTACAATGCTGCGTTGGAAGGACACATCTTACATCCAGGTTGGGAAGACGGGCCTCCTCGTTCTCCTGGGACGGTTGAGGTGGGGTGTGCCAACAAGTACGCAAACACTCTGGGCGTTACCGCGAGAATAAGCAAGAAACCCTGCTAATCACAGGACAGTCATTCGCGGAGCGATGTGAAACAAGTCTAGAGTACATCGACTCACAGGCCTCATTAAATATCACTACTGCGTTCTTATTCATCTTCCGAAATGTAAATGAAAGTAGAATATAATTGAAACAGTCTGAATATAGTAGAGAAAGAGAGAGAGAAAGACTCTTTGTACCCAACACTTAAGCTGAACGGGCAATGTCGAACCCATCAAACCCTTGTACGGCTCACTAATCGACCAGCGGCCTTTTCGCTCTCTTGGTCACATCTTGTTAAGGCCCCACCTCTGCTGCGGACGTTGAATACTATGCTCTCCGTCACTCTTGGCTCCTGTAGGAACGGACAATCATAAGCTTTGATATAGATTTAGCCTGATTCTATCCTTAGTATTCTTGGTGAGAACCCCGCCACGGATCGAGCACAGCTACTGGGCTTGTCATTCTTCCGAACAAATAGCTAATCTAGCAGTTATGAGCGTACTGGAATCAATCCCACTGTCAAGGAATCAGCTTGGGTAAAGACAGATTCCGGAATATGCCACAACCATCCGGGCTTCGGTGTAAAGATAGTCGTTGACTATTCGTAGACCTTAAGTGATGGTCTATATCTTGGGATTATGGAAGCTCGTTTACCAGAAAAATTAAATTGTATGTAGTTACGTAAGGCGACTGCAAGCGGAGTCACGCACCACAGGGGGCTAAGGAGCCCATTCGGATGACCGAAATGTCCCCACCAGGAAGATTCCGCATTCCTTGTATACTGAACAGAATATATATGATTTAAAAAATGGCCGAGAAGTAGGGGTAGTGGAGGCAGGAAGAAGAAAGATGAGCAGTCCTTGGCTTAATTGAAGAATGAAGACGAAAGCATATGACATCCAGGGATACTACAGGAAGACCTCTGATGTGTCAATGGATTTTGTTCCGATGTCTCCGGACTAGCGTCTTTGAGAGAACTGCGTTTGGTGTTTTCGGTCATCTTCCAATGCGTTTTTGATGAGAGACGGGCGTACAATGTCTTGAAATGTGTTGGAAATGCTTCGGTATCAAAGCTTCTTTTTTGGCCAGATAAAGGTTAGATGTAGACTATCAATTTCAGACCAAGATATGTTGCTGGGATTGGAAGGCTTATGCCGCTCAGGACAAGTTCTCTTGCTTCAGGTGGTATACCTCTTACTTGGTGACCTCGATCATGTGCACAAATGCCCATTAAATTCATCCTGAGGACCCTCACGTCTCACCTGCTCTGTATCTTCCATGTTTCCTATTTATATATAGTATATACCTAAGGTTACACTGGTAAACAACTCACATTGGGTATGAACCATCGGCTACTTATAGTGTTGTTGCTTGAAGATCAGATTCAACGGCCCCGGTACTGTTGTGAAGAAATCCAGGAGTTCCGTGAACATTTTCTGACCATCCTCTCCAGGCGCGAACTCGAAGTCAAATTCGGTCAATACTAGGGCTAGGGCCACGCGGATTTCCATCAAGCCTAGGTTCTTCCCAACACACTGGTACTCGCCTAATCAGTGTTCTAGTTAGTTCGGGGCTCGTAGGATCTTTATCACGAGGTTTGCACATAAAAAGATAAAAAGGGGGGAGAGAAGAGCATGTTGCGGGGTGTAACATGTAACAAGTGGGGTTCACTTAGTAACTCACCGGAGCTCCAGGGTTGCCAGGTTCGCTTGTTGAGGATAAGGTCGGGCTTGGTACTGAATCGCTCCGGGATAAACCTATTGGCGTGAACGAAGCAATCCTCTCCTGCTGGGGCCATTAGAGATTAGGTCCACGAATCTTCTCTGCTAGTGAGGGGAAGGCCCAATGGGAACGCACGTCGAAATAATGTGTATTGAGGCACCAAGACTGTGGTATTACCAGGTATAAAGGTGCTGCCGACGTGCAAGCCTTCTGGAGGAGTGATGCGGAGCCCACCACAGGGAACTGCCGGGTTCAGTCTTAACGTTTCGTTGATCACAGCATTAAAGTGTTGGAGGCGCTGGAGTGCTCTATGATTTCGTACATCCTTCAGGGCTTCTAACTCAACCCGAATTTTCTCCAGATGCTCTGGGTAACGAATGAGATAGTACATCACGTTCGTGAGAACCTGGCGCTGAGGATCACTGGCAGTATCAAGAGTCAGTCTACATGAGGGATTTCAGGGGAGCCTAGAGGAGCTCTTGCCTGCCAGCTGTGATGAAGAGAATATAATCTCCGAGGACGTGAGTCCAATTAGCGTCCACGCCGCCCCGCTGGCGTGCATCTTCTATGATATAACTGAGCACCTAATTGCACAATCAGTTCTATAGTCCATGGGAATCTTTCAATGGTACTTGCATCTTCCCCAGGTTTCATCTACAAACATGCCATGTCAGATGGATTTGAGACCAACAAAAGCGCAATGTATAGATCAGACTAACTTCAATTTTTTCACGTAGACCAGCATCTGCCCACCTGGCAAAGGCATGGTAACCATTCTGTCCACCGGGAATAGCGGCTGTGAGATGATACAACCAGGGAGCAGGTGTGACAACGCCAAGAACAGGATGCCCTGCGTTGTACATATCTAGGGCGACATGATTCTGGCTCTGGAGGAGATTGAATTGCAAGTTGAACCCGACCAGGCCCATGATGTCAAAAGTGTAATATTCAAACCATCGCGAGATCTCCACTGGGGTTCCACAGCGTTGTTTCAATTGGCGAACAAGCTCCTCAGCATACGCAAAGACTCTGGGCTCCAGAGCATCTAACACTGCTCCAGTAGGCTTGTTAGTAGACCGCCTCGACACAAAAGACGCCTGGTAAATGAAATCAGCAGATCAAAGCGTACTCTTAATGCTGAAGCCTTGATCCCAAAGTTTGCGTTTGTGATTGTGCACAGCTTTATTCCTCGTGGTAACGAGGGAGACAAGGGGAAGCATCATGTCGTAGTAGACACCTCTGGCGCACCGCGAATTGGCCCCATAGATTTTCTCAAATGCTTCGGTAGTAAACAGGGTGACTTCGTTTGGACCTGGATTCATATTAGCCTGTACTTTTCGATGCATGCCCTACCCAGTAGCTCCTAACAACGTGCCTGTGCGAACAACGTCACCGTACTCATGATGCATTTTATCCATATATCTATAGTTATCTGCGCGGATAATATGAGCAACATGATACAGCTTGCTGACTTTGGCCCAGAACGGGCCAGGGAGGTGCTGGATGGGCGACCAGAACAACCGGGAGAAGGTGATACTGCCGAACAAGCCCCCACAGAAAGCCCCGGCTGTAAGAATGGTATCACGAGTGGCCTGCGTAGCTGGAAATGCCTGACCACGCCAGTAGTAGAAAAATAATACACCCAAGGCGATTAGGGCGACTCGAGCGATAGTATCCGCATGGCGGTCGTGTTCGCCGTAGATGAAGTAACCTCGGTGCAAGAGCACACCGGTGGCTGTAGCAAGAAGGCAGTTAGTCAACATAAATTCCATGCTATTCATAATATATATACGGTTTCAGCATTCCACCTACAGAGGAAGACACATGTTCTTATATGGCGACCTTCAAACACATTCGCCGTGGCTCCCACCACATGCTAGTAAGTCATAAACCCCGCCTCTCGGCGCTGCTGTTGAGATCCATCGGTCCAGACAATGACATACATGGTAAGCCTCGGACCATAGAGTCCATTGAATGCAGGCCGACTGTCATTGGACAACCTTCTGTCCACGAACTTTTCGGAGCGGTTAAATTTGGGAGGCAGCTAGCATGGGACAGCACAACCTACTGTGTGGCCCGCGAGACATACTGTAACAACCTTTCGATACACGTTGTGTGGTGCTTCGTAATACCGCTGAAATACCCCAAAATGTGACCGCTTGTAATATGCAGGGTGATTCGCAATATCCCTATTACACATTGCATGGGTGCGGTGTTTGGGAAAATGTCTGGCAGCTGGTAAGCATGGATGCAGCATGGATGGAGCTCGGTTAGGAAGCCTCGAGGCTCGCCCGGCCTCAAGCCTCCCTGAGCGGGGTTGGATCGTTAGGGCGAGCTTTGCCAGGCCTAATTAGCACTTGTGTCGGATGTAGGCGAGACACGATGTAACCCTTCTTTCACCTCGGCTTAATCACCCCATGACAGACATAATTCAAGCAGCATGCACAATAGGTGGAACTCCCACGCCGCAGCAAATATCGGATTTGCCCTGGTGCAGCGCCGACGTTTTGTCCATAGGGCGTGGTCGTAAGCCGACCGCAAAAGTCACCAACACTAGACACTGTACTTGCACACGCCACAGCGTGTATGCGCATATATCTGTCCCTATGTTCTCCTAAATCAAGATGCGAACCTGAAAGTTTTTTTGCTTCATTTACCTTGTCCATTAAACGAACATCTAACAATGTCTCAAAGTCTTTCTGTGATTATTGTAGGCGGCGGTTTGGGCGGATTGGCAACTGCAATTGGCCTACAACGAGTCGGTCACCACGTCGTTATATTGGAAAAGGCACCTGTTCTTGGTGATGTTCGTTGCTCGATGGCCACAGCATACCTTAACAATGTAATCCCTTTACTAAAATTTGCAGATCGGAGCCGGAATTCAGATGCCACCTAATGCTACACGTGTGTTACAGCAATGGGGCATACTCCCGGAGTTGGAGAAGCTTTCCATCGCGCCAGGAAAAGGCATGATGCGATCCTACCGCGATGGTGAAATCTTGTCAACTGTCGTAATGGGTGACGATCTGTGCCAGAAGTATGGTGCTCCATATCTTCTTGTTCATCGGGTTGATCTTCACCATTTACTCGCAGATGCGGCCCAGCGCGAAGGCGCCATCATTCAGCTGGGATCTGAGGTTACTGGTATTACTAGCAGCGCCAATAACGGGGCATTTGTGCAGTTGGCGAATAATACATCGCTAAGCGCTGACCTCGTGCTTGCTGCCGATGGGGAGCGATCGCGTTGTCGATCACACCTGCTTGGCCAGGAGTTCCCCTGGAGAGATAGCGGCGATCATGTCTTCCGCGCAATAATACCGATACAGGCTTTGCATCAGAATGACCAGCTGGGCCAACTAACCGAAGGGCTTAACTGGTGGATTGGACCGCAGGGAAATGCCTTGACATATAGCCTGAAGCGGGACAATTTGTTCAATATAGTCCTCACGCAAGCCCATGCACCTGATGCCGAAGTCCAATTTGCCCCCAAGCCTATAGCCCAACCAGAAGTAGCAGCTGAATTTCCGAATTGGGACCCTTTATTTCATCGGCTTTTAACTCTAGCGAATTCCTGCAGCCGTTGGACACTACTACACACCGACATGGCGCCACGATGGACAGCGGAGGCAGGCAATATAGCATTAGTTGGAGACGCAGCGCACGCCATGTTGCCCTATACGTGAGCCACCATGCCGCTTTTTTGATATAGTTCTCAGACGCTCAGTATTCATCCAAGATGCTAACCAAGAGAGTTTCACAGCGGTCAGGGTGCAGCCCTTGCCTTCGAAGATGCGGCTACATTAAGCATACTTTTCGCGTCCCTGACGGACAAATCCCAAATACCAGATATGCTTACTATTTTCGAAACGATTCGAAAACCACGTGCGGCTGAAATGCGGCGTCGTGTTCAAATAGTACGGGACATTTACTCCATGCCTGACGGCGACCAACAACATGAGCGTGACCGACAGCTACGCGAGCATGAGCCGTTTGATGGATATCCAAATATCTTGGCGGATCCAGTACTCCAACGTTGGATGTTCGGCTATAATGCGATAGAGCATGCGCGAGAGGCATTGATCAAGTTTGGAAAGGGGGAATTCCCGGGTACACGAGGGACCTGGAAATCAACTACGCATCTTTAAATAGAATTGTTAGAGATTGTTGGTTGACATCAACGGGCGTATACTTGAGGGCCTGTTGCACAATGCATTGTTTATTATCTTTGTGTGATTGGGTTTAGACATTAAAGGGATTCGATTCGCCGGCTGCAACCTCTTTGTTTGAAATGTATCAACGATATACATTCATGTTCTTATAATAACTCCGACACTTTGGTGTCCTATTCTCTTTGTCATGGGGTTGGTTGGGGTACATGGCCGACAACTTGATATATCCTTTGGATCCACTGATGAATCCTTCCCGCATCCTCCCGTTCTCCACTGTCTAAGCATCTCACTCCCAACTGACAGTTACACTTTGATCATATCTCGTCATTCTCGTCTCGTGAGACCCACAAGCTAACTTTGGCATATAGCCTCTGTAAAAAGCCCTCCTGCTACTAGAATCCCCCAAACAATACTCCCGTTACGGAACCACCAACCACAATCGTCTGGATCGTTCAAATTTACCTTCCAGAGCATCCAAGCGATAATGGCAGAAGATCCCACCGACGTCAAGACTTGATACGGAATATGTGCCCCAAGTGTCATGCCAGTATGGATGTGAAGCACAAAGAGTAGGAGACTGGTAACGAGCAGCATCGTCTTGACACGATGTCGGTAGTAGACGGCCATAGAGCGAACACCGATCTTTAGGTCATCTCGTATATCCTGTTGCGCATAAATCGTGTCATGGATCACGCTCCATAGTACGTAGCTGAGATAAAGTGACATCAAGCCGGCTCGACGAGCGCCATCAACATGTCTCATTCGGAGCGGGTCATCACCCATCACACTGGATCCGAGAGGGACCCCAAATGCCAAAGTGATGCCTAATACTGCCTGTGCGTGGTATGTGATACGCTTGGCGAACGGGTAGAAGAGGACTAAACCCATCAACGGGATGCTATAGTGCCAGTGGTTGGGCAGAGTAGTTGAGAGGATTGCGATCCAAAGAAAATACTGCAAGCCAGTAAAGAGGAGAGCAGCTGGCATGCTGATCGCGCCCCGAGCCATGGGACGATGGCGGGATCTCGACACTTGGCGATCAATATTGCGGTCGATAATGTCATTCCAACTGCACCCCAGGCTTCGGAGAACGAAGGCTGCAATGAGCAATTCAGCACTACGCTGGCTTATGAGTTGTATGCTCATGGGGCCGCGACAAGCTGCATAGAGGACACCAAATAGATATGGGAAGTAAATATTGAGTACTCCAGTAGGCTTCGATAGGCGTATGAGTTCGCCATAAGGCACGCAAACAAGTGGGAGATAGGACAGGATGCCCTTGTCTGGGCGCTGATATGCGGTCGAGGGACAGGCTGCCATTGTGCAAAATGATAATACATGTAAATAGCCTCACAAGGAAATAGAATAGGATGGGGGAGCGGGGGAGGGAAATATCAAATTATTCTTGCTTCCCAACATCCGTAATGCCTTGAGCATTTATAGAGGACAATAATACTAATAGCCAGCGGTTAGTGTGACTCCAACAAAGAGATCAATTTTCTAATAGTCGCACTACTATCAAAGAAATCTTAGAATTCAAATCAAGTTCCGATGTAGAATACCACCAACCACCACCTGCATAGCGCCAAGCAAGTCGCCATCTCGTAACAATTCCGAAGTACCTTGTTCAAAGCATCCAAGCAAGCTCGGTTAGCTGAGAACCGCGCACAACGTGATTTGGATACATCAATGCATGTGCCACTGCATCACTTCATAAGGTCCAGCTTGCGCTTACTCGGGTAAAAGGACATAGTGGAACCATGTTCCCGCCTGACCGATCAGGGATCTCGGTCCCAAGAAACTTACAGCGCTGGTAGAGCGACGGCTGAAGTCGTTCTTACCACCAGCATGAGACATGATTATGGTTTGCTTTCGTTCTTAGACCCCACCCTGATGATGGGCAACATGGCCCAAAGCTATTTTTGTCCGCCCAGTAGTTTTGCCAGCTCCGGCCCAACACACCCCTGTCGATCAACCACTGTTCCTGCCCAGACAACCTGTTCGAGGAAGATGCAGCCCCGGATTTGCCGGTAATATCCGTTCACAGTGGGGTCCTTCGCGTAATTTTTCTGACTTGTAATTACAGCCCCCATCCAGCCAAAACGGTCTCCGCCGGACAAGCCCGAGGTCTGTGCGCCACACTCCCCAGCGCGAAGGCCCTGGCTGAAAGGCTGCGCTCCTTCATATACCCCGTAACACATGATTTGTTACTCGACAAGGCTAGCCAGTCATTTTACTTCAATTGCTAACAACATGTAGGTCCATATCTAAGCGAGTCGAACGCCTTGCCCCCCGCCCCCACTGGGCTTGACCCTCACCAGGCCTCTTGCTCCTGCCACTGGCGGTACTTCCAATCTCTGGTTGGATATGTCCGTCTTGAACCACATGTAGACTGTGAATACAGTAATCATCGCAATGCGGGTTTTGGTCTAGCGGACTTCGTGTGATATGAATGCATTAGCTGTTGCTTTCGTTTCCATCAGTCTCTTAAGTAGCGCCGCGCTCTTCGTTCCCCAGAGTACCGCTCCTGTTATGTCCCATACATGCAATTTCCTTCGGCTATACGTGTGTCAGGCTAGGCTGCCATGTCAGAATCCGCCCTCCCAAACATTGATCGAGGCGCCCACCTGCTGGCATGTTTCTGGATACCCTTCCCATGCGCGTCTCTACTAGTATGTACACGCTTCTACAGTCGCATTGCGCGGCATGAATTGGGTTTGGATGATTGGGCAATTCTTGCTTCTTGGGTAAAGTGTCATATATAGACCAAAATGCTGGGTGCAGCGCAGCTGACAAACGCCTCCAAACAGGTTTTATATGCCATCGGTCTGGTGTTGAGTACGTTGATGGTGCAACACGGAGGTGTGCGGCACATTGAGTATATAGCCACCAGTGATCTGCTGTTCGTCCTTAAGCTGGAAATCATAAACCAGCCTTTTGGTGTCTTTGGTGCACTTTTTGGCAAAAGCAGCGTGGCTCTATTCATTTCACGTATCTCAGGGCACACCTCTAGGTGGCGCCGTTTGTTCCTCATTATAAATGTTGTCTTGTACGCCGTCATCAGTGTAGTCAATGTCGCAGTCCTTTTTGGGCAATGTAGGCCGATCAGCGCCCTTTGGGATCAAAGTCTACTCAGATCAGGGCATGCGACCTGTATCGAGCCGATGATAAATACTGATATATCCATGTTGCAGGCTGGTAAGCTAGCACGAGACTTGTTTATTTCCTTTTGCTTTCGCTTTTTTCTTTTTTACCTCGGGCTACTTTCTGGTACACAAAACTGACCGCCGTCTTATCTCAGCATTCGGCGCATACTTGGATTTTGCTCTAGCCCTCCTGCCGTTGACGTTCCTTATCGAGCTCCGAGTTGATATGCGAAAACGCATGGCCCTTTGTCTAATTCTTGGTCTCGGGATCATGTAAGTATTCCCAGCATTCCTCGATCACATAACTACTGCCGGCCCCCCTCCGTTGAGCGCCATCATTACTAACTTAATCCATGTCAATATGAAGCGCTGGTGTCTGCGCCTGTGTCAAAACATCCAAGTTTTCGGCTGCGGCCAGCCTGAGCGACCCCACATGGGGGAGTTACTCACTATATATGTGGGCGTCGCTGGAGCTACCGTTTGTGATAATTGCCGCGTGCATTCCGCCGTCAAAACCAGTGTGGGATTTTCTCATCAAAAGGAAGCCAATCAGTGTGTCGAACAGCGGCTCGAACTACGATCCGGGGTCCAATTCATCGTACAGGCTAATTCCAGTGAAGGTATCAGCCTATGTGGAGTCCATGGGGCCAAATAAAAGCTTCAAGCATGTCGCTTGTAATAGAGAGGATCCGGTACCTATGGATGAATCACCAGATCAAGTTTGGCGAACAGTCCAGATTATGCAGACTAGCCAGGTGATACCGGCAGGTGAGCATTTAGAGAAGACTCGAGAGATAGTTGCCAGGGGAACCACTCAATGACACCACCCGGAAAGTTGAAGGGCAAGATAGTCGTTGTATGAATGTATTTTGCTGGAGTTCAGTTCTTTTTTTTGTGTGTCGCAATAGTTGCACGGCTGTGGCCACTTACTTTTTCGACTATGAATAATCCTGTACTCACCACAATATTCGTGAATATTTTGTTTCTGCCCTCTGTAATGTGTATGTGGGAAAGGCATCCCAAGCCGCTAGTATTGAGGTGTGTTATGCCATTTTCTATCCAGCTTTAGCTCTACTATCAGGGCAGTGATCTGTTACTGGTGGAGAGACCGGCCTAAAGAGGCCAGAGCCCTGCTGTGTCTGGATGAAGCACCGGCAGCGTTGACGTGATTGTGTGTTTTTGGAATTGCTAGTCTTGTCTAACACCCATGGAGGATCCAAGTAACGAATTAATTCAAACAAATTAGATGGTCAGGTGGCTTCGAATATTGAGACTATCAAGACGTCCATAAGACCGGTAACCCAGCCCGTCGGCCATACTATCCAGGCACAAGATTCCTCGCCCTGTCAAACAGGCACCGCCTCGAACAAGGCATTGGATCCAGTTCCCTGGAAGCCCGACCGCCATACTTTAAGCACTTTAAACTGAGCCTTGTCCAGCAATCCAAGCCACTGCTTCTCCGTCCGTTCCATTGATCCATATAGCTCCATCATGATGATATCCATCGAAGCTGAGAATCCCGGTGCGTTCATTTCGGGCAAGACATTTTCATTGATCAGTAGCACTGAGTCAGAAGCCATGGCGTCATGAACACGGCTAAGAGCCTGCAGAGCCTGTTTATCAGGCCAGTCGTGTAGAACAGTACGCATGTAGTATGCCTTGGCCCCTTTTATGGGCTGTGAGTGGAACATATCATAGCCGACAGCTGTTACACCTTCAATGAGCGGCTCGTCAATGTCTCCAATAACCCCAGGGAGATCCTGCACGATGAGCTGGTTCTTTATCTCAGGGAATTTGCGCTTGAAGCCTGAAATGTCATGGCCCTTGCCACCACCGATGTCCACCAGGAGCACACGGTCTGTACCATCGGTAGTAGCCAGCCTCTCCTGCCATGGATAGTAGTCATACCATTGCACACCCTCCAGAGAGCGATTGCCGATTTCCATCACCGTATTAAAGGCATGTAGCTCCTCTGGATTGTGCTGTATCCACTCGAAGTAATGTTCTTTAGTTCTGAAGGCCAGCTGGAACGTCGTGTCGTAGGCATCTTCAGGGTTCTGGTATCCCCTTGCTTCGAAGTAGTCAAGGGAATGGACTGACGCCTTCATGTCCGAGTGGCTTAGAAGATTTCAATATTAGCCGAATATACGATCCATTTGCGGCAAGAATAAACGCACAAATGCTTTATCACCTCGCTGGGTGGACTATTAGATGAAAATATCATCGCAAGCGGTAGGGGCTGGTATTTCTGCACCCCCGTCTCTTTAAAGACATGGTTCGCACACAGTACTCGCATGATGCGCACTGCAGGGTCACATACTCATCAGTATCCACATCGTAGTCATCAGTGATGTATATGAAACTCTAACGCGAATAAACCAAGAGGGCCATGAATCAAATATCAATACAATAAAAGCAGAAATGTGTATAGATTCCTGCAAAAACCAAGCATTGAAAATCAAACAGATAGGAGGAAGAAAGAAGTCGAAATTTTGTGAGAAAGTTGCAGATAGGTTAAGAACAGCCAAAGCAAGGACTTACCCAAGAGGCTCTTGTCCCCCTTTGTCTTCTCGTCAAGCGCATCAGCGGTCATTTCACCGCCCTTCGCGGAGGCAAAGGCGTCAAATATACCCATGCCCATGGCGATTCGAATGGCAACTAAGCCATGGTGCTGCAGAGTGGTCGAAAAACATTAGTTGGAGAATAAATTGGTAAGGTGGATCCAAGCACTTGAAGGTTGGTGAGCTACTCACCCCAAAGCAGAAATTCCGAATGGTGAGGAGGGGTGGTTCCACAGCCACACGAAGCTTGTCAATGGCGTCCAGAAGCTGGTACCGAGCTGCCTCCGGTATTTCATCCTCGGGGGTAAGCTGGGCCAGGGCAGCGTTAGTGGCCGAGGTCAACGTGGTTACGATATCCGCCATTGCGACAAATGATATGGAGATCTGGGATAGTAAAGGTATGTACGTTCGGAGAGAGTGGATGGCAGTAAGTGTTGGGGCAGGAAATACATTTATAGTTAGTATTTTGGTTGATCCCTTCGTGCTGCTAAACATCGCGTGGAGTCAAAGGTGACAGGTGACATAGTTGAACATGGATATTCCTACGTACCTTCCTTTCGGTCATCTCAAGTTTCGCTCGTCAGCACTAACGCATCGCAATTGCTTGCACAACAGGGGGCGGGCGGGGGACCGCACTAACGGATAGGGGTCCGAGACATTTTAGCGCGACTCGCTTCTACGCTGTTCGACAAAGTACGAGTGTTTCTGTATCATCGCATACATACGGAGGTGACATTTATTGACTGCATGCAGCAAGCTAACAAGTTGCAGCCTACCAACTAACTGATCGGTACCAATGTTCCTTTTATCCGGTGGAATCTAGCCGTTTAACCACCATGATACTCTGGCTCATGTCGCTCGCGTAGGTAAACGTCTCGACCAAGCTCAGCCTGGCGGCCCGAAAGAGTTTTTCCCACTCGTCTTTGGTTCGCTCCCTGGCCGCCAAGCACGCCATCATGGCGAGGTCCATCTCCACCGCTCGAGGCCCGGCGCCAATCTCAGGAAAAACCATCTCGTCGATCAGCAGGCTTGACGATCCGTCGGGCGCCATGGCCTCGCTCTGGAGCCTCAGCAGTTGCACACATTTGTCGTCCGGGTAATCGTGCAGCACATTCCGCATGTAGTAGAAGCTCGCACCCCGGATCGGTTGCGGGCCCCAGAAGTCATGGACCAAGCGGTCAATGCGAGGGTGCGAAATAGCATGTGAGAGGACCGCCGGGACGTCCTCCAGGATAATGCGCCGCCGGGTTCCTAGCTCAGGGCCTAGTCTATTGACAAGGGCAAGACATTGGTGACCCATACCGCCACCTATATCAACAAAAAAGGGTGCTACATGCTCCTCGCCATCCACGTCCGCCTCGGAGTACTGCGTATTGGTGTGATTGTCCCTACCGCATTTTAGCCGACCTAAGGGAAACACATCCATCCAGGTGGGCTGGCCATGGCGCTGGGCGGTCATCCACAGACTAAACTCCTTGAAAATATGGGGCTTATCCATGGCCCAGGCGAAAGCTGTTAATTCAGTGCCGTGGGCTTGCTGGAACGCCGTTCGGCTAGAATCGGATGGACTGCAATATTCATTTGCAGCCAGGAAGGATGGAAGAGTCTGCCAGGCCGGGAGTTGGATTTCGAAGCTAGCGACGCGTTAGTTGAGGGCTACTAGGATGGGGCACAGTTTGCCATGATTACTGGTGATTGATCCCTGCCCGGAAACCAGGCAAGGCGAGGACCTGAGTCGCAGGGGAGGCCTCAAAGCAGTCGACCTTCGGTTCATGGACCAGGTCATACCCGGACAAATACCGGAGGATACGGCCTGACAGCCCGGGCGGTTAACTAGGTGTCATTGGTCATCGATAAATAACGGGGCGGGCATCCTTACGCAGCAATAGGCTCTGCGCCCCGGTCAACTCCACGAGCTCTCCCAGGCTCTTTGGACGGCCATCCGAAGCTAGTAGCTCAAACAGATTGAGGTCCATGGCAACCTTGGTCATAGTGAGCTGCAAGGGCTGTCATCCCACCATCGTCAGTTAACCTTGCGCTAGTCAGTTAGCGTGGTGTTGTGAGAGGGGCCTACCGCGAAGGAGATGCGTCGGACGGTGTCCAAGGGGCGCTCTATGGCCATCAGCGCATGGTGAAGGGCCTGGGACAGTCGGCTCCGAGTCTTTTCATCCGTGGGTGGCTGGCACTTCAATTCCTCGAGGCTGGCGAGGAGTATCTCTGGGTCAGTCGCCGCCATTGTTCCGAAATCCGTTAGCGAGAAAAGAGACGGTACAGTAACTAGGCTTTATCAGAGGAACCAAGGCAACCTGGGCTGATCGATGCGGGTAGCACACTTGACCAAGGGGCCTTCCCCGTCTTAAAATAGTCCACAGGAAAACATACTCTATCATTACGAATGGTCCAGAGCAGAGCCAGCTGATAATCTTGGCTAGGCACGATTCCTCGTACATCAAAATTACAGCAAACTACTCGCATATGCTTTCCCGCCTTTTCATGTGATCAAGAACCTTTCTTAGAATAGAACTTGCTGGATCGAGTCGTAATTACAATTTGGCGCAGCGGAGGTCAAAAAGGATTGAGCTTGGTACAAGGATGAACACATTGGGCTAGGGCCGAGGTTGAGTATCATAGCATTTTCCACGCACTTCTTTGCCATTGAGACGAAAAACCCCGAAGTCATATGCCGGAATCTATTTCGTCTACATAATTGGCGTCGCTGAACTGATCCCAGTCGCGGCATGTTTTTGACAGCGTTGCAGGTATTGTCAATTTTCCGATGTCATCAGGGCGTTCCTGCAGAATGGTGAATATGGTTTAGCTTCAAATGCTCCCTAGTAGGCGGGATTTCCGGACAGGGCAAGACTAACGAGGATAGAGAGCACGAGACCGGCACTGGCGTGATTGGACATATGGCAGTGCATGGGCCATACACCCGGGTTATTCTGCTCCCATTCCAAGACCAGATAGCCCGGCTCATCCACTGTTCCGGCTTGAATTATTTGCGTATCCCGGCGCTGGGGGTTGGAAGGATTCGTGATACTCCCATTCCATGTTCCCATACCCTCGGCCAAAACCCAGAAGTTGTGTCCATGTAGGTGGATTGGATGCTGCATTGCGAAGGTATTAACCAGCACGATCCTTACACTCGAATTAGAGCCAAAGTTATATATATTGCGCTCCGCGGGGTACACCTGCGACGTGTTCTCATGCGTCATGAGCAAGACAGGTTCGTTGTAATTCGACCGAAAGGAGGAACCGTCAACGAAAAAGAGTAGAAAACCCGTCTCGTTATAGCCCAATGTGATGTTCACAGTCTGAACCGTTTCGGGTGTCGATGGTGGTGCTAATGGATAATAGGGCACTGTAGTCTCAAGAGGGTCATTCTGGCAGTGGTTGCTTTTCCATGGCGTGCCTCTAGTTGTTGGAAGAGCGCTGGTATTCGCAGACTCATAATACACTGCTGCAGAGACATTGTAAACTGTTGATGTCTCATTGAGGCAGAGTATATCAATATCTGATCGCATCCAAACTGAATCGCTTGCAGAGCCAGTAGCCTCGACTATCACATCCGTGCGTTGGCCTACGCCAAGCGTAACCACGTCAGTCAGGTAAGGCTTGACAGGGACAAAGTCATTCGCAATCACTGTCAACTTGTGATTGTCAATGCTGAATTTTTGGCTAGCCAATGCCCCAGTATTTACCAGGCGTAAACGGTATGATTTGCCCGATTTAACTTGGAATTTGGACAAGCCAGCGCCCGGCAAACACTTGTTCGTCAACGTTGAATCACAGTCAAAAGTTCCTTTTCCATTGATGAGATTGTTATCTATTGGAACAAGAACAGTTGGTCGCTTGAAACCCTCCACGAGAACGTCATAGTAGTTATCGTGGTAATAGTCAGAAAGCATGATCGGGCCCAGATCATAGTCATAGTTGACTTCAGCCTGCACAGGACCATAAATAACCATGGGACCGTAAAGGCCATCATCATACTGAGCACTATAATGTGAGTGATACCAACTGGATCCAAATTGATCAGCCTGAAAGATGTAGGTGAAAGTCTTTCCAGGCGCAATAGGACATTGTGTATATCCAGGCACACCATCATACCATGGTGTCTTTTTCATTGAGAGTCCATGCCAATGCAGTGTCAGACCCTCTTCCACAGTACTGATATCATTAGTAACAGTCACCTCAATCATGTCACCCCAATTGGCTTCGATTAGAGGACCCGGAAATTGATCGTTGATCAGAATCACGCTCTTGTTGTAACCGTCTGGCGCTTTGAACCCACGGGTGATAGTAAAGTTGTAGTGTCGTGTTACACCCGTATCAGGGGGATTTCCCCCAGGGTATGTGTTTCCCCAGGGTGGATTGGCTCCCTGCGTTTGAAGAATAAATAATCAGTCATCCCCAGCTACAAACCAACGATATGTGATCTTACATGAGTGTCCCGGAGAAACCTTGGTAAAGTTGGCGATGGCAAGGTTCCCCACTTAGACCGGCCTTTAATATTGCCCGCCAAAGTCAATGAAGAATCAATACGTATTGCAAGGGGAGAAGCCCACCGTTGGTGTTGTACTGTGTCAGTGCAGCCGTGAGGCCTGTTGTCAATGCCCAGACGTGAAGCATCCAATACATGATGTAAGTAGAACGTTCGTCCTTATGATCCAGAGAAGCATCCGCTGATACGGGTAGCTGTTATATATAGTTGGCCGTATACATCCGACACTTGAATGTGCAATCAAACACTACAGGGCCTGTTGGGAGGACACCGTTTCCCATTATGTGGCAAGTGCTGACAACACGCATCTGTCGGCACATGCATATCCCCAGTCGGTGAGTCCGAGGTGATCGTACAACTTTCAACTTCGGTTAAATAAAGCATCATGTGCGGAAATCTTCGGGGTGAAGGCTGCTCGGAGAGGTCAGTGGGGACTTAGAGAACATACGGATGGAAAAGATGCAGTAGTAGTCCGCAGTAGTTCGGGAGGGTCTTTATGCGGCTAACCATTTTCACCCTACCCTGAAACCCCGTCTAAAGGTAACTCTGCAACTCAGTGAGACGGGTTTACTTACTTTACATGACCAAACGCTGGGTCAGCTTTCATACTAGTGGTTATTTTTGTGCCCGGGGCGTAATTCCCTTTTCCCATCTGCACCTACAACGCCGAGCTGCGCCATCTTAGGTGCCTTCTCACATTTTCCATGCAGTATGTCATGAGATTGCCCCCAAAACCGGAAGTCCATCTAACTAACTGAAGCACCCTAGAAATCATCTAGTAAGCCCTTTCCCTGTATGTTAGATATTAGTCTCTGTTTGCCCCATCGACAAGCCGAACTTCCTTCCACAGGCGCACGAACAAGAGGGTTCAGGAGGTCCATTCATCCAATTGACAACCAGACACAAGTTGGCTCCGAGAACGTTTGGGTGCCAGGCAAATCCATGCTTTGTCATATCGCTCTCTTTGCTTGCGAAATTAATGCTCAATCACCCACGGACTAGAGAGTCACTCAGCGTTTCGGTTCACAACAAAGGCCATGTTGTTCCTTGTACTCGCTAGCTGCCTCGTGCTGCTTGCCTGGGTGTGCCGGGAGGTGTTCTTTGCTCCTCTGTCAAACCTACCAGGACCCTTCCTGGCTCGGTTTACGGCACTCCGGGAATTTGCCAGCGTATACCGCGGCCGCTACGAGCTGGAAAACATTCAACTTCATCGAAGATACGGTATGTCATCATTTCACCAAGGTACAACACCCATAGGAGACTAACAGTAGGAAATAGGGTCAGTTGTTCGCCTTGCCCCCGGTCGGTATAGCTTGAACACCCCAGGCGCCGCAGCCGAACTGTACAGAACTGGATATCGATACAGAAAAGGTTTCTTCTATTATGCATTCGGTGACCCTGACAATTCTCGAGCGGATCTTTTCACAGAGACCAACAGTGACCGCCACGTCACTAAACGCCGGAAAATCGCCTCGCTGTATTCGATGACGGCGATGTTATCATTCGAAGCTGTCATCGATCGTAAGGCAGAAGCCCTCTGCTGTCGCTTCAAGGAGTTCGCAGCCACAGGACAGTCATTTGATGTGCGGTGCTGGATGCAATTTTTTGCCTTTGATGTCATTGGAGAGATATCTGTATGCGTCTCTCAGATACTACATTTTCATTTCACATGGGATAATGACCGTGACTGACTAAGACCATTAAACCACCTCAAAGCTAGGTGAAAGCTTCCATTATCTTAGCCATGGATGGGACCACAATGGCATTCTAAAAGCTATCAGGCACACAATCCTCTACGGGGCACATATGGGGATTTTCTCTTGGCTACATTGGCATGTAGCTACCTTCGCACAGGTTCTGCGAGTTCCAATTCCGTTTGACCTTGTCACGGCGCACATTCTTCGGTATATGGATTGTACTGAGGACCGGCTGGGGAAAGACACAATTCTCACGAAGTTGCTACAATGGCAGGCAGAGAAAAAGCGAAATGTCACCCGGCTAGATATTTTCAACGCCGTGGGTAGTAATATAGCTGCGGGAACGGACACTATTGCTATTTCACTCGGGACAGCAATGTATATGCTGCTGAAACATCCCTCGGCATTGCGAAAGCTCCGTGAGGAGATCGATGGCTTCGCGGTCAATGAGCAGATCAATACATCATTTTCGTTTAAACAAGCCAGTCACATGCCATATCTCCAGGCATGCATCAAAGAAACCTTCCGGATCCATCCCCCAACATCATATCCTCTTGTTCGCATTGTACCCGAAACGGGAGCTGTGATTGATGGGACCTTCTTCCCCCCAGAGGTGAGAAACGTGGCTTTTTACTATCATGTAGTATCCGAGAACACTAAGCTAATCACCAGGGATCAGACAACGGTTGGAGTTAATCCTTGGGCCCTACATTATAACGAGCAGATTTTCGGTCCGGACGCCTCCGTATTTCGCCCCGAAAGGTGGATGCAAGATCATGAGACGGTAGTTCAAATGGAGAAAAACCTATTGACTGTAGGTAACGATTGATATCAGGCCAAACCTGTCAATACTTCCGCAAACAACTAACCAGATTCTAAAGTTCGGTTGTGGGGCGTACATGTGCCTTGGCAAAAGCCTTGCGCAACTTGAGATGTCAAAGCTTTTGCCTCAGTTGTTCAGAATATTCAACTTCCAGCTCGTGGATTACGATCGACCCTGGCATACTTCTTCGGCATGGCTTGTTGAACAAACCTACAGATGTACAGTGAGCACGAGGGATGGATAGTATTGAATCGAAATCTAGGGACACTGAGGTCTGACGGAAGTTTTGGCTGTACGATTCTCGTGTGACATTTTATGCTTCTACTGCTGACATCTCAAATTAAGAGGAAACTGAACTCTGACGACTGCCCTCGTGCAAGTTCGACTGATGATCCGAAATCATCCGCTGCTAAGATTCCACCTATTTCTATCCTACGTAGACATTATTTTCTCCCTTCTGCAAACAAACAGGCCGCTAAACCTGCGCTATACTAATGTCCGTAGCTGTAGCTATCATTGTACCAAACGGGCATACTCAAAGAACTGCGATTGGACTCTCTGCTTAGTAGGAGTAATTCGACGAGAGTGACTACACAAGTAGCAATCCCTACTATTATCCGGCCTGAGTAGAGCTTTTCCCCTTCATTCATTCGGAAAGGGACATTGGCCTGGATTACCCAGCAATAAGACAGAGATGACATCAGTATAGCTGCCAGGACTGAGGATGTTATTATTGCGGTAGATGCTGCTCGAGCGGCTGCTGTCTCGCACCCCAGTTGGGCAGAGGTGCATCCCTCAGCACTACGGGAGCTGCTTCGACGAGAGAGTGATCTCATCCAAGAGAACATGGATTACCTAGTATCACTAGAAACAGGCCAAACGCGGTCAAACACCGGAGGATACGGCTTAGGATCCCGGACAGTTATGTAACATTGGCGATTGACAACTAACAGGTGAGGGGAGGAGGAGGGGCATCCTTGCGGCCCGGTCGCCTCCACAAGCTCTGCCAGGCTCTTTGGCCGCCCATCCGATGTCAGTAACTATGTAAGAGGATCCAACCTACGGTGGATCCTGGCCCGGGAGATCTCTGCCAATCAACTGCTCATCGAATGTCAAGCACTATGTGTTCCACCTGCACCAGCCACTCGAGTGGCCGGAGTCAAGAGTCCAGCTGCTTATCATTTCAATGAGTCGCGCAAGGCTCCTCTGATACTCTGATTTTCGTCTCACACCCTTTCTGCTCAACGCCTAACGACCTCAATGGACCCAATTATTCCAAAAGCCTTGAAGAAGGGAGACACAATCGCCTTTATCTCACCCTCCGCACGTCTCAATGACATCCTACCTGCTCCCCTGGAGCGAGGAAAAGCCTATCTGGAGTCGCTAGGCTTCCATGTCCAGGTGATTTTCTCTAACCAAACAACAGCCCCTATCGCAAATTCTATTCGAGTTCGATGCGAGGAAATCCATGCCGCATTCCGTGATAGTACCATTGGCGCCATTATTTGCACGATCGGGGGCGCGCATGCGAATGAACTGCTACCTTTCCTCGATTACTCCCTTATTCAATCAAATCCTAAAATCTTCGTCGGCTACAGTGACACTACCTTCCTGCATTATGCGATTCAATCTCGGACCGGCTTGCGCACATTCTACGGACCCAGTGTTCTTACGGATTTCTCTGATTATCCCAAGCCTATGGAATTCACGATCGACCACTTCATTCGTGTGTTGACTGAGGCCGGAAAGCCAGTGGGTTCACTTCCTCAATCCTTAATTTGCTCGAACGAGCATAGCGACTTCCTACTTGGCAAAGGGATCCTCGAGAAACCGCGTGACATCACTCTATCGCCTCCATGGAGATGGCTCCGCGGATGTCAAGCTACTGGACATCTATTTGGGGGCACTGTACCTTGTGTCGTGCGTCTTCAGGGGACCCAGTACGCCCCCTCCTCGTGGAAAGACAAGATTCTCTTCCTTGAGTCTGCGATGGGCGACAACTTGCAACTGCCGTACTCTGTATCCCAGTTCCGGAACAATCTTGTCGATCTTGCTCTGTCTGGCATATTGCATGAAATTCGCGGACTGGTTGTTGGACGAGGATACAAATACAATACTGATATGCAGACAGAGCTTGCAAATGTGATACTGGAAGTCTTTGAGGTGATTGTCGGTCGAGTTCGTGAGGAGGAGCTTCCCATTTTGATGAACGTTGACTTTGGCCATACGAGTCCATTCTTGACTTTGCCTATCAACGCATTAGTCAAATTAGATAGCGATCTTGATGAGTTTAGCGTTCTGGAACCTGGGGTGCAGGCTTGACGGGGTAGTGGGACTCTATTCGCTGAGAGAGGTGCGCCGAAAGTCTGCCTACGTCTGTAGGAGTCCTATATACAGCTGCCTGGAGGCCTGTCACCTTGCTTTGATACAGGATTACTACTCTTTCGCTTTCCCAAGGTGCGGCCGCCCTCACACGGCATGGCTAAGTAGCAGGATAGATAAGGCTTTCTGAAACTGTGTGAAAGTATTAGAATAACATAATTAAATCAAAAACTAGATATCATAAACTAAGATTATTAGGCGAGCAGGGCGCAAGAGGCTGTCGAGCTCTAAGTAGGAGAAAGAGTAATGTGATTGGACGATGATGCATATTCTCTAGACGTTTCCATTAAATCTGTTTACTTTTTTTTTTTGGGTCCACTCCAAATCTCCCGATGTAACAAGGGTCAGCAGCACATGTTCAAAAGCGCTGCCATAAAACAAAGCACTCCACTGCCACCCTGATCCATTTGGAAGGCGATTAGTCTAAAGCCATCGAATTGAATGAATGAGTTATGGACACGTGGTATTTCTGTTTGTAACGCCTGGGGCTCTCCAGGAGGGATTTTCATTGAGATAACGCTTATATTACTGCTCCGTACATAAGGGTAGCTAGTGCCTTTAAGGCTAGATTAACAGAATAATCGTTGGCCTAGATCGCAAGAGATAAAGCCATCTCAGCCTATGGAGTGACCGGCAAGCACGCCAGTATGGCCACAGCCAGCTACGCCGCCGGAGATCCGCCGCCGAAAACCCCTCTCGTGGATAAGCAGGCTTTACGATCAGTCGGACACCATCCCCTCGCTGCCTTCCGGGCGAAGTCATCTGAATATCGCTCAATTCTGTCACCTCATACAGACTCCCCATCGGAGCCGTGACCAGCGATGAGGTCCCATTCTCTTCCCTATCTAGGGCGCATTGTGAAGGTTGTTGGAAATAAGTATATTGCTTGTGCGGATTATTTGTGTCCGCTCGGTAACATAACTCTAATCTCCTCGGGCGGCATCCTTGGACCATGGAAGATGGGCTCTCCAATCCCATTGATTTTAACCAGCTTAAGAATATCGTTAAGTTTACGCGCGGAAGCGTCAATATATAAAAATGTGACAATAACTGACATATATGATACGCATACCATCCATGCTCACTCAAGGTGCATGTATTCATTAACCATTTCTGAGAAATGGACCTAAATCAACATAGCGGAGATCACTTCAACTCCAACACCGCCCAAAAGACATCCATGGTCTCCCACCGGGTGGAACCCTTTACACCCAATTCCTGAATAGATTGTTCGAGTTCCTGAATAGCAGAATCCATAGCTGCATCATTTGATAAGCCTTCCTCGTGGATCCATTGACGAAACAATTCTGAGGAAACGAACTCTACTTCCCAATGACCATCCCACAGCTGCGAGTCAGGTTGTATGTAGCCGGAGCGTTTTTCTTGCCAACCAGTTTTGTGCGCAACGTCCAGCAGCTCCTCTGGAGTCAGTGCGGAGCGTACGTTGGGCTCCCTCGCCCCTGTCGCGGCGGACTTGCGTAGGGAATGGTACTGGGCTTGCGCTCGCGCAGCCAGAATATGTGGGACTTGTGTGGGTCGCGAGGCGCGAAAACCGTACTCCGCCAGGCACAGATAGCGTACTTTCGCATCGGCTAGAAGCTGGAAGACCTGGGCAATGCTCGCACGGTCGGGAAAATACCACAAAGAGTGGCACAGTACGGCCGCATCATATTTATCGGTGCTCGTGGGTTGGGAAAGGAGACCGGCCGTGTCGGTGCGGAGAAATTGAATACGCTGTCCTAGCGTGGACGCCTGGATGTGCTTCTGTGATTGTTCGATGGTATATGGTCCACCGTAATCAGGCGGGGCCGTGTCGATGGCTGTAATTTGACCATGAGAACCGTTGATCAATGCGAGAACTAGGCTCGACTCGCCTTGGCCACATCCGATGTCGAGCAATCTAGAGCCTTGGGCGATGTCCCAGGCTTGAGTTAGAGCAAGCCTGTGCTGGAAATTTGGCTCAACGATGGAAGTGCGTGCTTTCTCATCATGCAGATAGCTTGACAAGAGAATATCCATGACTCGATATGGGATCAGCTTGATATATTTCCTTGCGTTTTTCTATCCGTGAAAGCAGTTGGTACTATAACTATCGTGGTTGTGGGAAGATAGACCAGGTGAGAAAAGACATCACTGTTCGCCTCAAACGGCCTACTTATGTCTTATCTTTCGTTATCATATCTTGCAATCACTATTCATGGTCCGTCGGCGACTTCTTGATTATGATTTGCACTAACGCTTCCTAGGGGATGAGGCCTGTGCTCAAACGGCGTTGTGTATCCGTGGTGGTCGAATCCGAGCGACACTGCTTGTGTTCGATTAAGATACGGGCAATACACTTCCATGATATATTAAACCTAGTTAATCCACAGATAAGAGCCGCCTGTTCAACTGGAACCAAAGGGTAGTTGCCGTCATGAACGAATATTAAGCCCTCAGGGATTACGTACAGTATCCCCTTCAAGCGCCCCTAAGGCTCATACCCCCATCGGAAGGCCGAGAACATCAATAGTCCTGCTACCAGAGGCCCCGCTTGTATCTATGATGGTGAGACTGCTATACAACACCCAGAGTTTTGTTGGGGACTGATTCAACTGGCAAGACATAAGAATAATATTCCTAAACTTAAAATGGACACAGCACATTTGAATTTTGTGAGTGAAAACCCTGGAGCCTAGAAAGACAGGGAATGGATTGCAAAGTACTGGTGACTAGGAAACCAGCTTCCAGTCCCTCGGCTCCTGCATTGATAGACCAAGTAATCGGCTTTCTTACACCACATTACGCCTTAAAACCCACGCTGTATTGATCATAAACACCGTACATCGATCGACCGATTTCCCGTCGGTCTTCCGTTGCCAAGAAGAAGGCCCGGCCCGAGAGTCTCGATGCTGTGGTGCCAAACAAACACAGATAAGAGAAACGACTGCGTGGGAGATCCGATAAGCTGATATGGTAAAGGTTGAAACAGTATATGGCAGGTAGTACTAACCTAAGTAGCTTGACGCTGTTCGGGAAGTTTACCGGCGAAACGTATCTGACCACTGTTGAAAGTATCTACGTGCTGTTGCCGACTCCGGTGTCAAACCCTAGGATCGCTTCCCTGTTCCTGTTAGCTTAGCTTCACTGGTATACGTACCGCTGAACTGGATCAAGATAGTATCAGACTAATAATCTATCTAAGACACTAGTTTTGAACAAAAGAAGAGAAATAAAACTAGATAATACTATACAACTATCCATAAGTAAGTACAGACAAGTATTATACTGCTAAGCTTTTAAAGATAGATTACTTAAAGATAATATGGATTAAGTATGAAAAATAGAATTAATTAAATATATAAATAAATATTCTTATATATCTTATTCTCTATATACCAAGTAGTATATTTTCCTATATACTATATACTATATACCATATACTTGTCCGTGTACCATCCTATATATCTATAATTATATAATATATAGCTATTCCAGGCATTATAAAAGTAATCCAGGATTCTTCTTAATAAAAGTTTCTGTTTGCTTAAGCACTGTCTTTATTAGTATTTTCTATCTAATAAATCTATCTTACTAGCAAATCAACTAGCAGAAATCTGTAATATTATTCTTCCTTCTTTGAGATTTCTTATTTTCAAGAAATATAAAAATATATATTCCCCCTGTAGATTTGTCCAAGTCCTTTAGTTTCTTTTTTTTTCTTAGAATAGATTAATATACCGAAGCATGATAAATATACTGATAATAAATATTTGACTAATAAGATTAAAAGCTCTGGTTATTCTATTAATATTTTATATAATTTCTGTTTTACTCAAGGCAAGGTTTACATTATAAGTTTGACTACTTAAAATAAAAAATATTTAATTTATATCTTATACAGCTGTAAGTGCAAGAAACAGTTTCATAATAATTAAAAATAAGATAAACTTAAATAAAATAAGTAAAAGATTACAGCCAACCTCAAGGCAGTCTAAAAGCAGTTTATATAATACTCTGAAAAGATGAATCAGATAATAATAAAAATCATTTATTTATAAAAATATTAATAATTCTTAAAGAATCATAGTGGTCAGATACTAGATCATGACTTAAATATATTAAAATAATTAGATAAGAAGGATCCCCCAAGTACTAAAAATCTTTAAAAACTAGAATATCTGGCTGATAAGTATAATACTACTTAACTTACTACTATATCAGATAATCCTAGTCTAACTTAATTAATTAGTTTCTCTTTCTTCTGGGTGAATTTCAACCTGTTTACTGGTAATACTATTCTATAAGCTGATAATAGCCTGTTAGATTCTTAATAAATTCTTATATATTCTTTAAAATATTATATTCTTTCTATTTTATTAAATAATGTGATTTGCCGCTAATCTTCTTATAATCTAGAATCTTTTTAATTTCATATTCTTATTTAATATTATCATCAATTTCTATATTTTCTATAATCCTAGTATTCTTTGGTGCGGGTTCTAATAATAAAATATAAAATACTAGATAAATTTTACTTATTAATTTTAGTAGTCTTAGTTTATAATTAACTAATCTTTTTTTTCTTTGATAATAAATAATCCTAGCTTATAATAATCAAGCTTCTAGCTTAGTTATTTTATCTTAATATTTTAGTAGAGCAGAAATATTTTCTTTTTTTTTTAAATCAGGTTCCTTTCCATGTCAGTAATCATAGTAGATTTTACTTTATAAATTTATAAATTCAATATTTCAGAATAACTGGGTGTATATATATCCTGTAAATATAATAATATTTTCAGCTATACTAGTAACTGGTTACTTTTTTAATAATATTTCCAGAAATCTTAGATAATAACTGTAATTAATATAGAACAGTAAGACTCTAATTATCAAGTAATTAATATTATTATATAAGAATTATATTATAAATAATAAATCTATCTAATTATCTTATTAATAATTAATATAGTATCTCAAGTATTACTTAATTATCTAATTAACTCTTTCTATTTATCTGTTTATTTACGGGTGATAAGCTGTTATTATTTATTCTTTAATTTCTATAAGATCTATAAGTAATCTCTAGAACTTTAAAATTTATCTTTATCTGATATAATATGCTTTAATATTCTATAATTGATAATAATATTCTTCAAGAATAGTTCTGCCATCTGTATTACTGTTATTATTATTTTACTTAATATAAAATAAATATATTCAATAAAATAGTTAGTAATAACTGTAATAATA